TTGAAAATCGCCATTTTGGCTTCCCGCTGCCGTCGAATATTAACCAAAATGATGCATTTTCTTTTCTCTCGTGCTGGTAAACGCGATAGCATCTAGCAATGTACGTTTGGCAAATTTTAGCACTTCACTTGCTCTTTCTAAAACACTAGTTTACTGTCGAAAAGCTGTCAAACTAGTCTTTTTTCTGGCCGTTTTAGTTACCCCGTAAAAGTTTAAAAAATCGATGAGAGACAAACGTTAATACGGTACGGGTCCCACGACAGTAAATTTAATTTTGATTTTCAATTCTGAGGGATTGCGGCAAACGATTTACGTGGAAAAACTTATCAATGTGTTTTTCAGTTCATCTTATTGACATTCATTTCTGGTATTGGTATATGAATGTAATTCTCGTCGAGAAAACTTCGCACAACAGTACACCGTCAGTGAACAAGAAGTTTTATCTTGGGGGGTGAGGGGTAGGGATATGTTCAGCCGAAAGCAAAGCACGCAAACCAATATAAACGGTACTTTCGATGGACAAATCTTTTGACTGAAAATTAACTTTCGCATACTTTAAAAATTAAAATGATCGGTACATAACGTTTTACCCGTTGAAGAATTGAACACAGAAAAGCATAACCTGTGAGTAGGCCCCTTCAATCCTGAAGCGAAATTTGAAGGCTCCCTTTGCTGGCCTCTTCCGATCATTTGTGGCCATTATTCCATGAAAAGGAACGTTATTAATGAGTCGGTACAGTCGGTAAGCTCGGTACATTCGGAACAGTGGTACAGCCTACTACGAGGACAAGATTTTCTCAATACTTACTTCATACATCAAGGCACACAACACATGTTTTGATGAAAATGAAGAATGATACGCACAAAGCATTATAAACTGAGGAAGAGGGTCCAAAATATCCTTGGCTGTACAAAACTTTGAAATAGAGTCTCATCGTAAGTGATGGGAAATACTAACTAATGCATACATGATAATTTCTCCATAAAAAAAAACTTATTGTTCTCGCGAGTTGGCCAATCAGAGAGCCGCTTTGGATAGGTGCAGGACGACCCGAAGAAACCCAAGAGGAGTCGAACCTATGGCCTTCTGTTTACTAATCAAGATCCTCTACCACCAGACTACTGGCAGGAAGTAAGTCTTTTTTCTTTTCTGCCGAGCCGCCCGTACGTGTCACTGACTAAATGACATTCTTTCTCTTGTATTCACCACGATTGAAATTCAGTTCTATCAAGATATTTCTTTTACCCCATAACTTAATTCTTATGCTCATGCAAATAGTCGGGTGTTAGAAATAAGTCTTTTATCATCACAAAATATTTCAACCTGTTTCTGATTGGCTCAATCCCTCCGCGAATTCTTCATAAACAGCTAGCGAGGACTAAATTTGGAAGAAGTTTGTGATATCCGCTAAAATGACATCAATAGTTCAAGCTATCGCCAGAAAAATGGACGGCAAAAGAGAAGGTCTGCGGCCAGGTTACGTTAATTCTCGCGTTTTTTACACATTTTGCGAAGTCGAAGCAGGTACAGCGCAAATTGAATTTAACCTATGAGATCTGCTTTTTGAAGGATATTTGCTAGACTTAACATGGGTTTGTATCCGGAATTTGCCAAGAACAGACAAATGGAACTTAACATATCGATCGAGAAAGCATGTATGTATTATTCGGCTTTCCTGTGATCTGAAGAATTATGCAGATCTCCTCGATTTGCATAATTCTTCGGATCATGCTCAGTCTCACCCTGTAATTGCTAATCATGTAGATCTCCCCGTTCTCCATATTCTTCAGACCATACAACAGACTGCGTAGCAGGCGCCAGTCATGTATTTTCGCAGGCCGCGCGAGGAGAACACGTGAAGGGGAGAGGAGGCGCCTGCAGCGAAGGCCATAGTTTTCCATTTTCTACGAATTCTCTGACGGTGCGTAGAATGCCATTGGCTAAGAAAGCTTCTCTGGAATTAGTCTGTCACCTCAATGCATTTCTTGTCAGTTAATGGAAATTCAAGTCTTGCAATCAAAATACACGTGCGGCATGACACCCGGCTGAAGAACTGTTTGAATCGTAGCTGCAAGAAGTTTTTTTAAAGAGCTTATTTTCGAAAAGCATTGCGCCATCTTTTTTGGTAAAGATCTCTTGGCAGTATTACCAACTAACTTCGAAGAAAGTTTAATTTTCCAGCTATGTATGCGAAGACCGGAACCGTCGTTACGATCATTGTCGTTATTTCCCCGTTGCAAAGTATTATTTGGAATCAGGCAGCCGAATTCTAAGGGAGTTTTAGAGTGTGTATTTTGAAAGAAAAACTGGACTGTTCAGAAGAAATACTGCAAGGAACGTATAACGTCGTATACGCGTCACGTATCAAGAAGCGGCGATGGACAAAAAATTTATGAATTTCATTAAAATTGCCATCATTGTTCAACACGAATACAGTGGCGTCCTTTGTTGACGACGGGATTGAGGTAAGCCTGTTCGTCCTGTCTGCACTATAACTGTTAATTTAAAATTGCATTGTTTGCTTTATGCATAAAGGTTTTTTTTCCCTTTGGGTTTAATGTTGGTTTCTTGTCGTTAGACGATCTGCTTTCAATCAATTTCTTGTCAGTTGATGCAGCGCTGTCACGTTATTAATTGTGGGAGTAAATTTAAAATCAGGGACTCCGTGGCAGGCGCCTCCTCTCCTTTTCTCCCCTCGCGCGTCCTCGAGATTTCTTCCTTCGCCCTAAAAACCGGTGCTTTCTACGCAGGCTAATCATACTAAGCCTCATCCAATATTGCTAATTGCTATATACACACTTAGTGATCTTGGTGATTTAAGCAATCTGATTGGTTCGCTATCTCGAACTATTTAACAATTATTTGCCGAAGAAGGTTCGTCTCGGGGATTATTCAACGATGTTAACTGAGCCTGAGGTGAATAATTGTTTTAGTATAATTATACAATGTGATCTCAACAGAATCAGAAAGGAAACCATTAAAAGACGATTAGTTTGATTGACGAGTGAACTCATGCGTGAACATGAAGCCGTAAATAGTGGATGCGCAAACGTTAGATCTTTACAGTATCTTCAAACATGGCAAATGATAGTTTTTTTTTATCGATTTTTGTAAGCTTTAACATCAACGGTTTAAAAGAAAACGCCGAAAATTTAATTACTACCCAATTCCGAGTAGAAAAGTAGAGCTTTATTTGTTTCTGTCAACTCACCGTGAATGAGAAAGTTTTTTTTGTCGTTTCATCCAGTGCTGTCAACAGCAGCTACGATCATGGTGAGCGCTGTTTATCCGCAGTGTTCTTTGCCTTGTTAACTTGCTGGCACGTACAATTGTCGAAAATATTTTCCTTTTTTCTCCATAAATTAACTTCTATTTATAGGCAAAATTGGTCTTGCGAGAAAATCCCGAAATCAGAAAACAGTGACAAAGCAGCCTTGTTTTCCTCTGTAGTGGTAAACATAGCTTCGAGCGAACAAAAATTCAGGTACAGTAAGCCACTTCACAGTAAATCACGCTGTTTAAACACCATGAAGTCTTTTCTTACCTTCAAAGTCATCAACACTTGGATATCCTTGTATTTTCAAAAATTTCTTACTATGAAACTTTGGCAAAACACCCAGTTCGTGACATCGATTTTGTTCTGCTTTATATTTACCGCGTAGTGCGGTGAATATAGCGTCATAGTTCGTCATAGCGAACCAATCAGATTGCTTGAATCACCAAGATCAGTCAGTGTGTATGTATACTAATCAACAATATTCACTTCCTAGCCAGTGGATAACGTGTGAGCTCGGTTTTTTTCCGATTTTTTTGGAGAACGATCTTTTAAAAAGTCGACAAAATCCTAGGGTTGACTTCTTTTTAGGTAAGAAAAGACTTGGAAGGATTCAAACCGGCGTTTTTCCATTTACTGTAGCTGAGTTTTGTGCTCGATGGATTGTTTACAACTCCCGTTTATTCGCCTAGAAGAAGCCGTTTCATGAACTAAACGTTTCCTAACAAGAAAATTTGGCCCAAAAATCGAAGTTTATTTCTAAAAAACAAATTTGAAAGAAAATGTTTGCAAAAATTCTACGTTTCAAGTAAACAGGAAAAAGAATAGTACAGGAAGACGACGTCTTACTTCGAGCAACCGAGCCGCCATTTTTGTCAGCCCTTCGTGCAAAGAACGACACAACAAACCCTTTTGGCTATAAACTTTGCGAGTCAACAGAAAACAACAAAGCTCTACTTTTCTTCTCAGGTAAGGAAACAATTCAAACTTTTATCCGTTCCATTGAAGCCATTACGCTGTTGTTCGCGAAGTGATAAACTTGTGTGCATGAATATTGCCATGTTTGAAAATTCTGCAAGACCTATTTTGAAACTTTCGCATGATTTGATCCGTCAATCAAATAGTACTTTTTAATAATGGTTTCCTCTCTGATCTTGTTGAGATCAGCATACTAGCATACCAAAACAATTATTCTTTTCAATCTCGGTGAACAGTGGCTTTAGGAATATTTACCTCGCCGCTTCGCGCCTCGGTAAATAAAGAGCCACTATTCACCTCGATTTCAATGAATAATTGATAATTATGCAGATCTCCTCATTCTCAGGAGTTCCGAGTTCATATCATACTCTGCCTCATACAATGGAGAAACCTTTGCCAACTTCATCGTTTGCGTTTTCTTTTATCAGCATAATTACACGGCGCCCTCACTAGTTGAAAGAGCTGGTTTAACTTAGAAGTCTTTGAAACTTTACGCTCTTTGTATGTGATACTTAGAGAGGCTATGTCACAAGCTTATTGGTCGGTTATTTTACGTTTTAGGTCAATTTTATCAGTAAAATCATTAATCAGTACCTTCAGTCATACAGTAAGAGCGCTATCAAGTTTTGGTGAGTTTTGTGGTTTGTGGATAAGAAAATGAAAATGGTATATGCTAATGAGGAAAAAACTTGTTCACGTGACTGCTAACCAATTTTCAAAGAGGAAATACTTTCTTCTGAATTAATAGCATATTCTTTATTGGTTTTGATAACGTACTATGATCGAAGAATCATTCACTTGTTTATCCATTGACAGAAAACGCGAGTCGAGCGCTATGCGCCCGTCATTTGCCGAATCCAATCCAACAAATGCTTCACATTTGCGTACACGCCCGGGTATCCTGGTCTGGCACATCCTTTGCCATAACTAACTACTCCTGTCAGGTAAAACTTGCCACCTTCTTGACAAACCAAAGGGCCTCCACTATCTCCTTGGCAAGAATCGATCCTTCCTTCCGCGTATCCAGCGCAGACTTTCAACCGTTCACCATCGGGAGTCATGTAGTAAGACTTCTTACACTCAGACATAGCGATCAAAGGGACGTTTGCTTTCATAAGGGCAGTAGCTTGTGGGCCACCCTCTCTGATAGCTCCAAAACCAGTAACAGTGCACATTTTGCCAGCTTCGAAGTTGGTGTCTACCCCTGGAAGACAAACTGGTTTCATGTAGTCATTGAATTCCACCTCCCTTTCTAGCTCCAGGAGTGCGATGTCGTAATCGTTTGTTCTTTTACTATAACGTGGATGATTGATTACCTGTGAATAAACATTATTTTATTTCCAAAAAAGTCCCTTAGTTGTCTATTTATCGACAAACATCGACTTAATTATTATTTTTTCTTTACTCTGTGCTTTATGTGTAAATCTTAGGCTAAGTTTTAACCGAAAATATTAGAATGGAGGAGTACACTCGGAAAGAGTGTTAAAAAAGCTATGCATTGACTAATCTTTTGGGCTGATTTGGCCCTTTCACATGCACATCCGCCTATGTCATTTATTGCATCACCTGTGAGCTGCATAAAAAGCTATAAAATTAAAGTGAATATGAGACTATCAGATGTATATACTATGATCGTGAGTCAGTGTTTGACTAAGCCTAGTTTTGCATAAAATCAGTTAAGAAAGTTTTACCTAAACAGTATCATACCTGGTTATACATACAGCATCATACCTGGTATTTCAGCTTAATTTGAAATACCTAAATGTGAAAATTGCAAAACTTTTGCGGGTAGTAGTATAAACAAATAATAGCATGATTTGTACGTGATATTTGGCATAAATACCACTAGTGATATTTCAAATTGTCTCAAATTACGTATATCAATTTCGAAATATCACTCGTGGTATTGATGCCAAATATCACTACAAATCGTGCTATTACCTATCCAAGTCTTGTCCAAATTACGATTATTGTTAATATTATAATTATTGTTGTTGTCATTATTGTTATGAGGCCTATTCCCTACGAAGCTCATGGCAATATTCTCTTCCGAGAGCCTTTCTTCAGACCTACCCGTTTTGCAACGATTGTTACTTCATTTCCTTCCTGGTTGTTTACGTCAAATTCTCCAAGCAAAACCGATATGTCATATGGCGACTGCTTTTGAAAGCAATGAGCAGCTGAAACTACCCACTTTGGGTCGATCAAAGAACCACCGCAGAAGATCCCGCTACGCCCATAGCTGGTCGTATATATGATGCCGACTTGCCAGGGAAACTCTGCAGGTTTGGCTCTCTCACCACCGACAATACGGCTCTGCCTCCCAACACCACAGCTGACGCTTCCCGTATATCGTTTTACAAAGTCGGCCGTGTTTGGCGATAAATCTACAACAAAATACAAGGATGTTGCTAAAACGGGAAATAGGAAACGAGAAAATGAAAACAGGAAAAACACCAAATTTGAACCCCAGTCCTATCAATGACTTTATTACTAATTCTTTGTTTTGTTTCCATTTTTCGTTTTCCCAGTCCCTATTCCCCGTTATAGTAGCGTCTCAGTAAAACATTGGTAAAACCATCATAATATTGTGACAAAAGTGACGCCCTCCTTCAGCATTAATAGACAGATATATGTGGTTATTATCCTTCCTTATTGGCTATGGAAAGTTGACGTTAGCGAGAAAATTATTTGTAAATGACAAAATCACAGCTTCTTGTCCAACATATGTGCCTCTCGAGTATTGTATCAAAGGTTACAAACAACAAAAATTAACTTTGAAAAAATGTTGCTGGCAAGTTTTCAATACGCAAAATGAGTTTGAATCTTCTACAAATTTGTCCACCCGAGCCCTCTTTTGTATTTGTTGTGTTATTTATACCATCTTTTATGTTATGATCGTTTATTTTTATATTTCACTCAGTTGGTGGTTGTTCCTACTGCTAGGCTTTTGATGAATATAGTGACATAGCTCCTTTAAGGCTGAAGCTCTCGGGGGAGTACTTCCTAGTAGTAGGCTGATGGGCATGTGCCTCTGGATGGGGTCGCAATTTCAACACTGGATTAATTGACTGTTATGGGGTTGTATTTTTATAAGAGTTACTAAAATGGGGTCGCACATTTTCAAGATTTTGAGGTATGATTTTTCAAGTATGTAGCGATTTAATAATAGAAAGATTTACACCACATTAAGTTTAACAAATGTGTCAGTTCATTTCAGGATGAGCTAGCTGAATGGCTTTATAAGGTAGATGCATAAACAGAAAGTGAATAAGTTGGGATTGCAAAAATTACTTTTTTCCCAGAGTGACGAAGATGGGGTCTATAATTTGGCAACAGAATAGACCATAATGGTGTAGGGGTTCTGAGAGGCCAGCGGCACAAACCCAGCGAAATTAAGCCAATTAAGCCCCTTCCTGGGCTGAAGCTTAACTAACAAAAATCATAACAATGCATTGCTTGAACAAACAACGTTTTACTTACTTTGGTCTGCCAAAGTAGTAGCAGTTGGCTGAGTAGTATCTGGGGATGGACTGGGGGCTGCAAAAGGAATAAAATGTTTTTCGATCAAACGTAATTTAATTCAACTTTCAGTTAGTTACAACACTCAAGTAACCTTAACGTAACCTTACGAAACCAAGAAAGTCGAGTGGTTATTTTATCGTTGATATTCTGAAAACTTTACCTGTTTTAGGAAAGATGTTGTTCTTATACATCTCTGGGTCACCATCCGCTCCTCGGGGACTGTAACGAACACAGACAATGTCACCATGAAGGGTAGATCGCGCAGAACCAACTCCGATTTCAAACGTACTGTTCCAAACAACCTGTGCAAGTTGTATTTACAAAAAGTTATAGTTTAGTTTACAATGTCCGCTGTCAAAAGGGAATCGCGCCCAGGGGATACTCCCTATAATGGCCTAAAGGGGGGGGGGGCTTAACCCCGAAAGGAGAGGAGAAAGGAGAGGAATGAAAGGGTAGGGATTTCACTGGTTAATTTATATGAAAGGGTAATTGAAAATCTGCCATTTCGGTCAAAAGGCCAAAAGGGGCTAACAAATGCATTTCATGGCTGTGAAAAGTGTGCATCTACCGCAGTTAAAAGGGATACAAATTTCTAAACTAGGTATAGTAGTCAAAGGGGTGTCATTTATTTTGTAAATAGAGGGTATACGAAACGATACCTTTTTTGGCGAAAGTACAGTATTTAACTTTGTTAACGACCTCCACCGCCCCCCACCCCCTACGGGAATCAGGTTAGAAAAGGATGATGTTCGATTGCTTTTGATATCGCCACGTACAAACGGGATTTAGAGGTATAGCTAAATCTGCCTGGTACTTTATACCAGATAAATACCTGTGCAAAGTGGTTGATTTGCAACCCATTAGCCTTTGGCATTCCCGTCTTGTAGTTGTAGTTAACTTCTTCAGAGTACCATCGCTGAACAACCTTTGGGCACAAATCAAGGAGAGGGTCGCTCGCTCGCCGGGTAGTAAGGGAAGTGCCATTTACAGAGGCAAGATTTTCTCCCACGTTTTTATAATCAATTGTTTTATTATCGTGTTCAAGAACGTCATTCATTGCGAGTTTTTCACACCACTTCTGAGCTTCGTCACCCAACTCTTCGCTCCATAAAAGAGGCTGGGCACCATGAACCTTCCTAAGCTTGTTGTGGGCCATCACACAAGCTTTTTCAGAAGCGTCGTAAGCGTTGACCCCTGAAAGAGTTTTTTTACGAAAAGAAGATAAAGCCAGTCATTTTACTATTTACACGATCCAACAAAATTTTAAGAAATTGATTTAATTGTAACGAGATATACAAAGGAATTCCGCAATAACTGAAAATATTTGAAAAAAATTCTTCATTTTGTGGTCAGCAATATTTTCTAGTTCGTCAACATAGCTCGGAATTTCGGATAAATTGTCAACTTTTAGATACAAGCATGAAATCTGGCACACTGATATTAGTCACTCCAGAAATACAATGTATATCGTCAGGTTGAAAATTTTTCCTACTTAAAAAGTATGGTATTTAAAAGAAAATATCATTTTGTGACATGCCTTACCGCTGTTCCGTAGAAGAACGCATATTAATATGTAAGCACAAACTTGAAACAACTCCATAATTCTCTTGGAAACCTTGGACTGAATTCTTTAAAGAAAATTGCCTTTCTCTGGAGAAAACATCCAGTGAAAATGTCTGGTGATAATGTCTCTTATACCATCATTTTAATTTTCCCGTGGTTAAAGATTAAACGATGATGTTTTCGTCCTGGACGCGTTATAAAATGCTTTGTGTTTAAAACACGCCTACTGTCCAGTTTTTAGGGTACACCTGCTATTTGAAATGCTTAACCAGAAATGATTACACAAATAAGTTCAGAAATTCGTCGACTTAAGCGAGCTGTTTTCATAGTTTTCTTACCCCAAACTCTTCAAGGCGTATGATTGAACTGTGAAAATTTGCCATTCTAAACGTAGCTCAAGATGCCATATATCAGAGTTGTCCTGAGCAGGTGATAGTATGCAGGCCTTGCGTTTCATAAAACATGCCCGCTGTCTTGCTTGACAGCCATATCTACCATTTTACAATTTATTAAAATGAATGACCTAATATATATATGATACAACAAAGGAATCAGTTTCGAAATTCGTTGACTAAAAATTCAGTCGATGGCTTCAAAGTTTTCTCAAATACAATTCTTTCTACATTAGCAAGGATTATTGTCATTCGCTTTTCCATTGTTTTAATGTCTTCATTTCTTGGTGTATATGAGTTACAGGTGACCAGCTACACGACCAAGGTATGGGCGTTCCAGCACTAGTACACCTGTACTATTCATCCAAGAAATTTTGGTTCTGACAAAATCGTCCGTATATTTTAAAAATATATCTTCAAAATTCTTGGTTGTTGATTTGTGAAGAATCTTCTCTTGCTAAATGAGCGGAGTTTCTCAGTTTTTTCCTTCACGTTAACTGTTAAACAGTTGCACAATGTCTTCCTCAGTGAGTGACAACAAGCCTCAGTTGAGGTTTGCACTGAACACGCCTTCTGTCCTGCAAGAATACCAACCTCCTAGTCTGCAATTTATGGCTATAGACTAAAAATGATAAAATATTTGATCTAACAAATATCAGTCCAGAAATTAGTTGACAAACGTAAGATGTGTTGCGTGTAGTTTTCTTAACAACAGTGTAACTTATACTTAATATAATGTTATTCTGATCAGTTTTACTTTTTCCTTAGTATTTTCCTGTTTTCTATTGTATTACCTGTGAGTTACTATGTCCAACCACAAGCCAAAAAATGAAGGTATGGGCGTTCCATCAGCAGTACTCCTACAATCTCTTACCCATTTCGTCTATTTCCCATTTTTAATTGTTTAGCATGGCGGGCTGGAAATATCTTTGAGCGGATTTGAATTGGCGTGGTCATCTGTTGTGTTTCGCGTTTTTCCAGCGGTCTTTGTTCGCCTTTTAGTAATACAACAACGAAGAGGAAATGGTAGAAGACTTGTGGGTAAGATGACGAACAATAAACTGAAATGTTAGAGAAAGCGAGATTTTTCTTTCGTTGTGTGTGTCAATTTTGCATGTTATTTCGATCGATGAATCATCTTCACTTTGGAATATCTCTCCTAAACAAATTTTTCGGCTCTTAAAAAATTCCTTTTGACATTCTCGAGGTATTCTAGTTGTCTCATGTGAAACGTTGTGATGGGCCGCACTTCTGGTAGACGGGCCGCGAGCTTTTCTTGTGAAGCAATGGTCTGTGGAGGCCTGAGCATATCATATTTTGGACGATTTCAAACGTTTTTCCCGGCGTTCTCCAACGAATAAGCACTATACTACAACTGTCAACCGACAGAAATGGGAGATCGATAGGAGGTTTCTGGTTAGTGCCGTTATTGACCTTTTACTTGTTATTCCTGTTAATATATAGATTTAGCCAGGGCTAAAAGCGAAGCTCCCGTTAATAAATTCATAATTTAAATCAAACAATAAACTTGTAATCCACAGATCAGGGCACATTCATTTGACGTTTGAGGCAAAGGCTGAGTGATTTTGGAGAAAAATCAGAATTTGACCGTCCAAGAGTGAAACAAAATTTACATCAAGTTATTTGTACACCGAAAAATAGCAATCATGTTCGATCACAGTATCCCTTACCAAATCCAACACTGTTTTGAATGTATTTTTAAGCTATTTTTGAAAACTGTTTTTAACCTCTTTTTTGAAATAGGTTTTAAATAGAGTGAAAAGTGTATTTTTAATGTATTTTTCGACTGCTTTTAAAGGTGTTTTAACCTGTTTAAAATGCTATTAAAAAACAATTTTTAAAGTATTTTAAAATTCGTTTAAAATATTAAAAAAATCCCAGGGCTTTTGAAAGGCTCAAAACAGGTCTAAAACAGTTTTTAAATACCTTATAAATCGGAATAAAAACAGGATAAAAACAGTTTTAAAAACATATTTTAATTTGCTATACTATTCTATTTTTAATGGCAATTTTAAACGTATTTTGACAAAAACAGGTTTAAAATAGGTACAAAAATATTTCGACTGATTTTAAAGGTGTTTTAACCTGTTTAAAACGCTATTAAAATGCTATGCCTCAAAATATATTTTAATAGCTGTTTAATCGGTCTCCAAATTTAGTAAAATACTCGTATTTGCAAATACAATAAAAATACTTTGAAAATAGTATTAAAATACCACAGAAGAAGAAAAGCAATAGCACGCATATATTGCGAAAATACATCAAAAATAGGATGCAAAAATGCAAAAACAGGATAAAATTGTAAGAAAATAGCGCTAGAGTTGTCTGAAAACAGTACAAAAATCGGTCGAAAGAGCATAAAAACAGTACAAAAACAGGATGGAAATACCATTTAAATTCATGAAATAAAATGACTACATAACCGTCGAAAATTACCCTGAAAAAGCAAGATTTACCTCTGCGAAATTTCTCCACACAGTCCTCGGCCAGGACTTCACGAGAATTATCTCTCAGCCGATTACTTTACGTTGATTTCCCTACGCATTCTCGGGAAATTCTTATGGAATTTTTCAGAAATGCTGAAATCAATCTTTAGCCTGTGTACAGACCCCCTCCCCTCAATAAACATCGGAGGGGAGGGGGTCTGTACACAGCTATCAATCTTCGGCTTCAAAAGGGATTTGCGTTACTGTCGTTACCGTTAAATAATAATCTACATACATGTAACTTACATTATTTATTATATTCACGGCTTTTCTCAAGTATTATCAGAAGCTTGCAGGCTACGCCTGAACATTAATTATTGGCTGATAAAGAACAACATAAGAATAACACCATCAAATTTACGCGAGAATGAAAGAGCGTGACATCAAGTGACTGAGATTATTCATGCAACACAGCGAGGATGAGCATGGAACCCTGTAAAAACTAAAATTGCCGTACAGGCGGGAGTATATAAATGTTTACTACCCTTCATTTGTTTCTCATATGGCGTATACTTAAGCGTCTTAGTAACATGTTATAATACTCACATGAGAGAAGACGCTTGGATTAACACATAAGACAGCGTGCTTCGAATAGAACCTGAACCAGAACCTTTCAAAGTACATAGTAGTCGCTGAGGAGTCATACCCATTTTTGATTCGTGATAAAAGCAACATCTACGTGTTCAGACAATCCGCAGAGTTGAAATGTACTTTTGTAAGATCGTAACAAACAGTAAAATCAAGCGCACCCGCAATCACAGCAACCGCGGGTTCAATAATTTGAAATGAGCAAAGGACAAAGGACGGTTTGTTTATCACGTGCATTTGTCATATCACCGCGGCGCGAAGTCGTGATTTCAGTCGCGCGTGACATCTCAGAAATAATATGCTATGCATGTACGGAATAATCTATGAGAGAAAGGTAACCATCTGTCGGAGTTATTCAGATCTGAGCTTTGTTTCTTGATGCAATATATACGAGGTGAGATCTTAGCTTGGATAATTTATTTATTATGTAATTTCAAGGGCTTATTTTAGATAAACCTCTGTTGACCGCGTGCATCCGGTTCTCGGCCCGCGGCCTCGGCTGTTTGTGAAAAAATTTCCATTAAAATGAGATTTTAAGAAGTTTCTTTTAAAAAACTTATGGAATGCCGTAACTGCATTAATTGAATCACGGCTAAAATCTACGAGGAGATTTTCGCAGAGAGCTTGCAGGTAATGAACATGAGGAACGGATTGATCTCTTATCGGCACACTGTCACAGTTACGTGTTGTCAGTCAAAGCTAAAATCTATTCCTAATTTTCTTCTCTTTTTTTTATTTAATTTAGATTTAATTTTTCGCTCAGCTTCGAACTTTGTTGAGAAGAGAATCCGGTCTACAATATGTGACAGCTTGTTTTGAGTCATTTATGAATTCGTGACACTATGAAGGATTAAAAATTAACTTTGTGCAATTGTTACTTTTATAGTCTGAGTATCCCAAGGTACATTACAATATCGCACCTCAGTAATAATAAGTAATAAGTACTTTAAAGTATTTAAAGTAAGGTCAGCATTTGATGTCTTTAAGCAGACTTAAAATAGTTTATGTATAATCTGTTTTTATAGTCAGAGTGTTGTGTGCCCAAACTACAATTCAAATATACCCTCAAAACAGTGTTTAAGTACCCTATTTAAAAGTATTTAAAATGCGGTCAGTTCTTAAGGTTTTAAAACATATTTCAAATAGTCTATTTGATCTCTGTTTGTAACTTTTTGAGTGGATGAGTCTCAAAATACATTTTAGATACAACTCAAAACAGTGTTAAAGTACCCTATTTAAAAGGATTTAAAATACGGTCAGCATTTAGGCTCTTAAAATATATTTCAAATAGTCTATTTGAACTATGTTTGTAACTTTGTGAGTGGATGCGTCTCAAACTACATTTTAGATACAACTCAAAACAGTGTTAAAGTACCCTATTTAAAAGTTTTTAAATACAGTCAGCATAAAAGCCGTTAAAACAGATTTCAAATAGTCTATTTGAACTCTGTTTGTAACAGTGTTAGTGGTTCTATGCCCAAAATACATTTTAAATACCCTATTTTAATCATATTTATTAAACAAAATACATTGTAAATTGATGAAAGAGGTTTTCGTTTTCATGAAATACAATTTAACTACACTCAAGATATATTTCAAACAGGGGCGAAAATTTAAATTTCTTTGTCAAATAGGATTAAAATACAGTAAAATAGTGTTCAAATACTGAAAATACATTTTAAATACTTTAAAATCAGCTTCAAAATACATATGGTTTAGATTAGGCCTGGAAAACAAATAGACCTATTCGTGTAATGTATTTGCATTAGCTGTAGCATCACCAGTCTCTCCAACATTGCTCCGTTAGAGAGACTATGGATAATTGGACAGCCCCGAAATATAATTTTAAGAAACACATGCGCCACGATAGTCCTTGGTGGCAGCCAATTTACACGTTGCATTCCTCTGTCTAAAAGAGAGGCCAAATTAAAATAACAATAAGGCCGGATTTTTTGTGTTCGACAAGTTTAGTTTACTAGTAATCTTGACGACGAATCTGGTGGCGTGTAAACCAGCCTTTTAAACATACTTTTTCTCATCACGTCTCAGGTAAACAGTACACAGACTTCGGACAGAATTTGTTCTTTTTTGCCCTATTTAAACCTATAATTCTGCAGTTTTTCACAATTTTGCAAGAGAATTTGCACTCATTCAATATCCACGACGATCAAAGCACGCGCTTCCTTTGCACAACAAATGATAGCATTGAATTGTAAAACGTTTTCTGTTAGAAAAATCTGGTCCTATGTGACATGCGGGGTAATAATTATGGGCTTTTAATAAAAACGATAAAAAAAATTTCCCAAAATCACTTTTCGGCCAGCCGCACGGGTTCTCCCTTTTCAGGCACCAAATTTGCAGTGCGATTAATAGAGTTACCATTTACGCCTCAACATGATAGAGAAATTGTTATGTTTAGGTTTTATTTCCCTTTATTCATTAAACTGTGTATGATTTTGTTATGTGTAATCTTTAAAACCGAGTGATATTTACGCGCGGCGTTTTGAGTATTCCGGGGGGGGGTACTTTAGGAATTTCTGGGTGGGGATGTGCCGCTGGGACCCTGGAACCCTTAACCTATACCAGAGCTAGTTCAGCTGAATTTTGCTACCCTATACTAGAGTAAACTCCCTAAATCCCCCTATCCTAGAGTAGCTGTTTCTCTTGTCTAGATAAAATCTTCAACCAACTGATCAGTTTCCTGAAAAATGATACCCTATTCTAGACCCAAACGCTCTGATTTATATACCCTATCCTAGGGTAAACTGATTGAAAACCATACCCTTCACAGCGGCACATACCTACATAGCCCATATATGGCATTACCCCCACCCCAACCCCCCCTCCCCCCCCCGGGAGTATTCCTACATGCGGTCAAAGTTTATGTTCGACTAGAAACAACCGGTGCAGCGATGAAAATTGCGACAGGGACTACTAACAATCAATAAAATAAGTTTAATTCGGTGAAACATGTACAGAGACAATAATTTTCGTTCACGAAGGGAAGTATTGAGAGTAAAGTGTCTCAGAAAATCATGAGTCAGCAAGCATATGCTTATTTATGTTTTAAGCCGGCTTCCCGGTGTTCGCTCTTTTTCAAGATGAACTCGAGGCAAGAAAATCGCTCAGAGCTTTCTGTTTACAGCCAAAATCATAACTAAATAATGTTCGGAACCTTTTCGTTGAATTTGCGTGTCAAAAAATGTCTAAAGGCTTTTTAAACCTGATACTATTGTAGGTTAGATCATTGCCCGTGTTTTAACTTAAGCCGCATAAACCATACGCTCGACTTCAGGAAACCAAAAAAAAAAACACATCAAAAACAATAATGGCTCAGGCTTACCAGTCGAGATGCTGCTTCTGATGGTCATCAAGTGTTCCAGAATCGCTTGAGACTTTTCAACCTTCTTACGCCTCAAGCAAGGGCAAGTGAGTAAGCTCATTTTTGAAAACGATGCCATCCGAAATCGGATTTCCAAAGACTTTGACAAGCGGTGCATTTGTCAACTAAAAGCGCAATAAACAAACCAGCCGCGAATTACAGAACAATCTTGATAGCAGCTGTATTTCATTTTGTACACCAAGTAGAAAAAGACAGTTTAAAACATCACAAGATAACACAAAAATCTCTCAGCTCCAGCTATCACTAAGCAAGTTTCCAGACGCTGCAAAAATTTTCCGCATAAACTCACCTGTCAAATTTTGACCAATCAGAACATAAAAGTTGGACGTAGAGCGTGATCAACGCGTGACAGTGAGAAAAGTCAAAAGCGATTGCCTTCCCTGCATGTAAATGTAAAAGCCGGTTGAATTTTCGTGTCCGAGATCAGTTCGAAATCAACATTTTTAAAGTGCGGCTCATGAAACACGACTTATTTCATATGCATTTTAAAAAAATTGAACTTGAGCCTGCGATCATTTGAAAAGTAGCAACTTGTCAGCGAATACCTTCAGAGGGTCGATACCTGAGCTCGCGATACGGTCAGGCGATACTGGTCAGCAGAAACACTGTTTTGACAGCTAATCAAAACATGGATGTACAATATCAGGTTACAGGCTCCCAAACTAGCTAGAAAGTGTGAGATTAAACGTTGGTATGCCTGTGGTGCGGACGGACAGAAGGTCGGGTGATCGGTGTACGGTCACGTGATTGCCGAATTTTCTAGGATGGATAGATTTTCTATAAAGCTATGGGGCTTCGAATTGAGCCCGTGATCAAATAAAATATCAGCGCAAAACTTTTAACACTACGTGACCTCAATAGATAGAAAAATGAGCCCGAGATCCACTCAGGTGATGATGGTCAGCGTATAATTTAGTTTGACAGCTGTCAATTAACCTTCAATGGAATGGCGAATATTCGAATTAACAGACTACGAGTGTGAGTAGGACATTTCCGTCCGGCATGTAGTGGGAAATGCCAGATCGTGTACCTGAGCGAGCCTGAGCCCTCGTTATTAGTTTTCTGATAGCGGTCTGCATATGTCCCATTTTGACAGCTGTCAATTGACCTTAATTTGGCCTGCCAATGTAACTTAAAACGACTGTCAGCCAACTGACAGCTTTGCCCGGCGTAGTTTCGTTTTTATGTTGAATTGGTAAGTGTGACATATTATATCAGCTTATATATAGGGGCAAAACGACTGGTCTTTTATCTGAGCCCGCGAGACGGTCATGTGATAATTGTCAGCGGATGTCTGATTTTGACAGCTGTCAATCTAATCGTACTCATACGGATGGCTTACATAACTAAGAGGCTAGTCAAGTTGTGCAAGATCTATTGTGACATTTGACATCGGCTTACATGAATTGTGTGTACGGACGGGCGTACGTTACGTCATAACCAAATTTTCTGGGATGGATAGTTTACCAAATTTTCCCTTTCTTTTCTTTCTTTCTTACGCTTCGCGTGCGCGGGAGCTCCGCTATTACTACAATGAAAAATCCGAAGGCGTCGGTATTGCGGTAGACCCGACTTTTACCTCATGTTAAAACGCCATTTGTTCAATTCTTTACTTTCAAGCGGGTAAATTATGCTGTGGAGGATTCTTAATCTTGACTGAGCAAGTATCTAGTTTTTTTTTCCTTTTTTCAGTTGTCCCACATTGAGAGGTCATGAAGCTGGGTTTCAAGCATACTGATTCCCTGTGGCCTTTGTTTGACCTCTGATGCAGAGTTTTAGCTTTTTCTTTGACGTCTTTTAAAGTGTTATAGCTTTTTGTTCCGGCTTTATAACGTTTATATAGAGGTTTTAGTTCCTTTAGATTTCTCCGAAATGTCTGGATCGGAATAACTACATTATTGTTTTTGTACGTGTATTTCATAAAATCCCTGCTAGTTTTGTCACGCTGGGCCCAAAGTAGATCTTCACAAAAATCGGTAACCATGAAACAGTCATGTTTTTTTTTTACCTATGCATGGAAATTTCTGACACAGCTAATGGCATGCTGGAACTCCCAGGGGACAACTACAATATATATAAAGTCATTTTGTTCTAAGATTTTTCTTATCTGGTCTTATAACTGTTAACCTCATATAGACATCGTAGTCCATGATTCATAATTAGGTAAACTTTATTTCAGCTGTTGCACATGTCTCTGCCAAGTTTACAACCAAGACATAATAAACCAAAAATAATATCTTGAACTGTTAAGCACCGCGGTGCCAATCAATTACTAGTTTGCTGAGCTTTTTGTCTCTTCAATCCATCTCTGAAATTCCTCATCTTTGACATTTGCATATACGCCAGGTTTATCTGGTCTAGCACATCCAGCACCATAACTAACAACTCCTTTCAGGTAATACTTTTTACCTTGCTGACACACCAGAGGGCCTCCGCTATCTCCTTGGCAGGAATCTATTCCTCCTTGGGCGTATCCAGCGCAAACTTTTAACTCCTCTCCTCTACTTGTCATACGGTATTTTTTCTTGCATTCGCTCATTGCAATCAAAGGAACATTTGCTTTCATTAGCGTTTTGGATTGGGGACCCCCTTCACGTATAGCTCCAAATCCGGTCACTGTGCACATTGTACCAGCTTCGAAATCGACGTTCGCCTTTGGAAGACAAACTGGTCTCATGTACTCACTGTAAGTTACTTCACTCTCCAACTCCACAAGTGCCATGTCGTAATCAAATGTCCGCCTATTATACCGTGGGTTTTTAGTAACCTGGAACACATTAATCATGACAAATGTTAGTTAAAAACGCTTTATGTGGTCGTGCGGTCGACTGTTCTGCACAAAATTGCTTTCCATGAAACGCTGATAAAGAAATCGATGACCAAGGATCCATGCTTAATTGCTTTCGTACAAAACAGAATAGTCATATGTGATCGAATTGACTAATTGGACAATTCTGACGAGAAGTTTATAGATTAAACCAGGAATATTCTGACATACAGCGAGGAATATTTTTATATCGAGCCGTGTTTTAATGTAAAATATGATCTAAAGTGACCCACTTAAAAGGAGCGAGCTTTGTTGAGAAACCACTTAAGAGGAAATTCCCCGGGAGTAGCAATAAGAAACAACTTTGTTGGAATAAATTTGGCCACGATTGTGGCTAGTTTTAATCGAACAATTAGCAAAATTCAAACACAGCAATAAACATTTTCGTATATGATGTCTTGTTCACAAATGGGGAGACAAAATACCGCCAGCCTTAAAAAGTGATACTATCAAAGCGACAGGATGGATTAAACGTGATAAATCGCTGGGAGGTGGTGAAATGGGGAGGAGGCGGGAAAAAGTTTTTCTGGGGATCTGTTCAATCTGATGGCGAGAGGACGAAGGAAAAATATCTCGCTGGAACTGTCTTTCATATACTAGGCATGTGACTTACTTAAACCTGATTGGCCAAACTAATGCTAGTATCGACTGAATCCGTGCCTAGTACAAGCCAACCCCAGCGGAATATCACGTGGGTACCACGCCTCGATATTTTGTCGCGCCATAATGTTCGGTTATTTCTTTAAGAAATAAATGGTTTTATGCTTAATATAACTGATCAATGTTTCATTTCTCCAGATACCAGTGAGGGAATGTTCCTGCCATCCGTGATATGCTTTTTCTTAATACATGAAAACGAAGCACGAAGTCTTTCTGTTCACTGCAATAAGCAAGTTAGAAAACCTTATTCCCTTCTTTTCCCTCGCCTTTTTCTCCATCCCAAAATAGAATTGTCATTATTTGGTATCCCTGCAAAGAGAGCTCACCCAAAGCTAGACTCAGTCAACATCAATTGCTGAAGCAATAAAAATTAACTAAAGGAACATCGGAGGATAAAACAAGACAATAAAAAATGAATTTTAACGCGAAGGTCCACAATCGAAACCATCATGCGGCGTAAATATCTAACGCTTACCAGGTATCTGACCCGCAAAAGGCCTTTTCAGTCATATAACCACATTAAGAAATAATGGAGAAAGTAGAACTGGAGGATCTTTATGCAAAGGTATAACTTTACTCTAAAAAAGACCACTGCATGAAAAGTAAGTGGGTTGGAAAATGACTAGACGTGATTGTTTCAGAATAGCATCTGGTTTGAAAAATTGTGACCAAGGACTTTTTTCAAAAGCGACAATTTATACGTAACCTCATTACCGTGAGCTCGACGTGGTTTGTCCTCGATCCTTTCCGCATTCGAGCCAAATGTACGTTGTAGTACTTCCCATATAACGTCTGCCCCAAAGCTCTACAGAGCTCAAAGTAAGCCACATACAAGCATTGTTCCCAATCTCGTAGCCTTGTGTGCGTGTACACAAAGATCGGGGTATGTCTAAATAGGTATACCATAAAATCATAATAATAATGACGGGGGATGGGGGTGCTCCCCATCTGCCCTTACCCCCCAAGGAGATCCCGGGCCGGAGTGGTTGTCTTCTTTTCCCGCAGCTCTGTGCCCGCCTCAACATGAACACCACCCGCTTCCTTACAAACATACCACCCGGAAAACCCCCTTTCTCTGAGAACAAACGCAGATACGCCCACACCCCCAAAGCCAGAATTTTTGTGCTCACCTTTCGTACTTTCATTAATACTTCATTCCCTTCTTCGTTTTCAGTATCGAATTCGCCAAGCACTACTCTAAGCTGCGGATATGACCCAGAGTATTCAAAACAGTGAGCAGCCGACAAAACCCACTTCTTGTCGATCAAAGATCCACCGCAGAAAGGCTTTCTTGCTCCAGACCATGACTTAAACCCAACCTGCCAGGGAAATTCTTTAATGTCTGCCTGTGTTCCACCTACTATACGCGATCCCTGCTTCGCAATACCACAGCTCAGGCTTTCAACTCCTCCGGTTCCTGACCCTCCTCCACTGCATCCCTGACCATTGCCTCCACCATAGCCCCCATTGTAACCCTTGACGCATGGCGCAAAATTGTTTTTTACGTCTGGAAAATTATTAAAGGAACTGTTTACGAAACGTATCAAAATTCAAACAGTAGGAACGCCAACAAAGTTGAAATATAAAAATAGCTGCTTAAAACATGAAATGAATAACACAACAAAAACAAGTAAATAGAGAAGAAACGCATGCAAAAACTTAAAGATTGATATACTAATGCTTGGGAGACATACCGTAAAATTCCGAAAATAAGCCCAGGGGCATATATTTTTCAAAGGCCCTCTTTGAGGGGCTTATTTCTGGAGGGACTTATATTTGGAAGGGCTTATCTACGGAGGGAAATTTGCGTTTCAAAATCGATTGGGCTAGCCTTATAGTTGGAAGGAAATTTTACTGTTTTTGCTTTGTTTTACTTTGTATTTGAGGGCAATTTCCAAGTATAAACTCCCCAAGGAGGAGGGGTGATGTAACGGAGGGTTTTTTGCGTTACGAGTTTGGAGGGGCTGATACAAGGAGGGGCTTATATTCGGAATTTTACGGTATTTGCTTGGCGTCAAGCTGTAATTTTGGCATTCACAACTTAAGAGTTTTAACATTCATGTTGTGGCTCCTAATCCAATGAACGGTGATCGACTTGAGGGTGAAATAATTAAAACGCTCACTGGATTAAAAGTGTTAATTCGTTTACATATTTTATCAGGTCTGATTTATTATTTTTAGAACCTTAAGCGGTTAAAACGGCGATGTTGCACAGGAATATTTTTATCGAAACGCGAGGTTGTAATGTTGGAACAAATGTTGCAATCATTGGAAACAATGTCGCAACAATAGGGCCATTTATACGATGAAAAATAAGACGCGAACTGTACCATTTATAGGAGCATGTCTTATCTAATAAGACGCGTCTTAGCTAAGCCGCGTCTTATTTTAGACGAAATGTGCCGTTTATACGGAAAGTTCGCGTCTTATGTAAGACGCGTCTTATTTTTCCTCGTATAAATGGCCCTAATGTTTCTTCGTTGTCCTTAGTTGCGCTTAGATTTGTAGTTGTGAATTTTCTCGTGTAGCCTCATCTTTAAACTAATTTATTAGAATTTACCTTTATAAGCAGTAGTGACGTCTAAACTTGGATTAGGGCCTGTAACATAAAAGAAAATGTTTAGTGCAAATCTGCAGGCCAAATAGTTACTAGGAGCTCTCTTGCTGGACGAGAAGGTACCAGGAGCGTTCTTTTACATCTTTTTCTAAAGCTAACTCCTACCACTCACTACAAAACTCCCATCGAGCTACTTAATAAGCCTATTAGTAGGGCGTGGTTTAAATAGCCAAACTTGAAATCGAAAAAGTTTGGGTTAGCTCTGACCTGAGAATACTCGGAGTGGTTAATGTTTAAGTATCACACGGAACTTACACACGGCTGCCATCGACAAGAAACTACAAACCAATGAAAAAATTAAGCCACTGGTTATCACTCCCGAACAGGAACTTTAATAGGACTTGTACAGAGATTATTCGAGAATATTATTTCGCCTTCGGCGAATAATTGTCAATATTCTACTGACGACAGAGCTCTTTTTCGTTAATCCGCAATTTATTTTAATTGTTCTGCTTAACGCTCCTACCTTTCTTCGGAAAGATGTTTAATATAAACTCTTCTGGATCACCTACACCTCCTCCAGGACTATAACGAACGCACACAATATCCCCAAGGGAACTGGATCGAGCAGAACCAGCTCCAATCTCATACGAACTGTTCCAAACAACCTTTGAACAAAAACAAAAGCAGGACTAGTGGTCTACGAAAAGAAATAAATAAATAAATTTCTTTTGGTGACTGGAATAATGTTGGAGATCGACGGCTTGATGATTAAGGAAATAGAAACTGTAAAACCTTTTCAGCGATGTACATGTCAAGATTCTTTAGTATCACTTGATTATAAGATATGGTTTGAATGGTACCTGGACGTCATCCAGTGTAACCATAATAAGTTGCCGTTTGTTTGTTTCGTTTCTACAAGATAAATTAAAGAAAAAAAAACTGACACTGAACATTTGGGAGAACTGATCAAACGATGGCTCTCTAGGCCAGCCAATGGGAGACAGTCTCCAGACCGCACTGGAATTTGGAATGACAATTTTTAGAGGATCCACAAAAAAAAAAAATTATCCCAGACATGGCGTCTACGCTGGAACTCAAACCTGGGTAACATCAGTGGGGGGCGAGCACTTTAACCTATGTCAGCCTTCCCTACCCTCTGTATCTATGCTATCTTGTATTTTAAGATGCTAATACTTTTCAACGAACGCCGTTTTTAGAAATACCTGCGCAAAGTGATTGATTGGCAGTCCAGGCGCCTTTGGCATTCCCGTCTTGTAGTTGTAGTTGTGTTCTTCCATGTACCATTTTTCAACCATCATTTTGCAAAGTTCTGGAGTGGGACCTCCACTTTGAAGATTGCTACCATTAGCAGCAGCAATATTTTCTCCCTGATTGTTAGTGCCCAGCGTTTTGTTGTCGTGTTCAAGTACATCATTCAAAGCGAGTTCTTCACACCATTTTTGGGCATCGCTAGCCAACTCCTCTGACCAGACAAGAGGCTGAGATCCGTGAAGCGTTCTCAACTTGTTGTGGGCAACCACGCACGCTTTACCAAACTCATCGTATGCACATACACCTTGTGCCAGTAGTTAAAAAAATGAGTAAGGTTATTTTCTCTCTCTCTCTCTTAGTCTTCTTCTTAGCCTTGGAACAGGCTCCCAAGAAGAGCGGAAGAAAACAAAAACCTCGATATCAATATACTCTACTGGGAATCACCATCGTCTGCCTCACACCCCTCTCACGTTATTCTCAATAGACCTTTTTTTTTTCGTTTGTATTTTCGAGCGCTTTTCGGGACATTTTTTCTGAAAGTGTTCTTAGAATAAGATTGTAATGGGAAAAAAGATCCTTGTGCCGTGTTTTGATGTAACAATGATAGCCTTGTTCCCGAGAAATATACAGTGAAAGACCATATTTCTAAAACTAACCTAGAAAAAGGCGATCATTATTACATCCAAACACGGCACAAGGATCTTTTTTCCCATTACAATCTTATTCTAAGAAAACTTTAAGAAAAAATGTCCCGAAAAGCGCTCGAAAATACAAACGAAATGTGCTCATGCCCCCTGGGCATCCTATAACACTCCTTAAATCGAATTAATTCAATATGGCCGCCGTATCAGTAAAAAGGTCTATTGCATCCATATTTAAAAGAAACTTAACTAACTAAAACTTAAAGTAGTTGGAAAACGTCTTGACTTCCTCTGAGGTAGATTTAACTCATGACTTCACTAAGGTTAGGAAAGTTAACTTGACAAATTTAGGCCAGGTTCAGACGCCGAATTTTTCATTAGCTGTACCTAATACATTGAATTACGTGCATGAAAAGTTCGGCGTCTGAATCAAATAGGAACGCCTGTTTCAATTTAGCAAGGCTCAGCCGTTCTTCCCTCCTAGCCCTTCTCGGTTAACGGTGCATTAGCCTGCAAGAACGCTGCATTTTTGACGTCATTTCCTCACTAAACACAAACTTCTTCCAAATTTGGTCATCGGTAACTGGTTATGGTGAATTAGACGTGACCTGTGCTTTTAGCCAATCAGAATCGGGAAAATATTTTGAGTGAACAATGAACTATTATAATGAATTTTGACCGAAATGAGCATTATTTCGTTTTGAATTAAGTTCGAATTAGGTTCGGCTCATGAAAGTTGGGCGTCTGAACCAAGGCTTAATCGAAAAGAAAGATACATATGCTTATTGATGCTTTTATATTTCCTGAACAGTCTTCAGCGTTTATGAAATGTAACATCATAATCATTAAAAATGCTCACCTTTTAAAGTTAAATGTCGTAAACGAATTTGGAAAAAAGTTACAGTGACGAGTTAAAAAGATCATTTTTGCCGTGACAAATAATAATGAAATAATAATAATAATAATAATAATAATAATAATAATAATAATAATAATAATAATAATAATAATAATGAATAATAATAATAATAATAATCTGCACTTATTAGTGTTAACACAGCTCCTCAAAAGAAAATATTGAACAATTAAGAAATAAAAACTGACTAACCAAACATTAACCCTCGCACGCACAAGGAATTATGAGACTGAGGGGGGTGGTTTCCACCCCCCTACCCCCCCCACCCTCAGAGCTATTTCTGATTATTTTCCTAGCCTATAAAACATCAGCACCTTTTTATCAGCCCGTTTATTCCTCTCACGCATTTTGTGACAAGTTTAGTGATGGTCAGGTACTATGGTTACGAGATATGACGTCATAAGTAGCAGGTGGTCTATCCGATTTTGAGTGAAAATGCATATTTTCTCAAATGATACAAAGTGCTTGCAAGATTAAGGTAAAAAAAAAAGTCACTGCGAAAACCGTGTACGATCAATCTTGCTCAACGTCGGATCCAAAAAGATCGTGATCAGTCAAAATAGATCAAATTGAAAACTTTACAGTCAAGAAGACTTTCTCGGGGACTGATCAAAAAACGTGAAATAGAGTTTAGTTGCGATATTTCGACTGGCCAATACCAGTCGTTATAAGGTTTATTGAGATATCACGAATTTACAGAAATAATGACTGGAAATTACATAATATGACGTGGTATAGTGTGGTTACTTTAAAAAGACAAGATAAGAAAGATATAGAAAAAAATTCAAGATATGCTATATATAGTTACAGTAGTTCATCACGTTTATTGATGCCCAGAGGCTCAATTGTCTTAGCTTTGTGAATAAGGTGGGCTTCACGTGCTTTCCTGAAAGAATCACGCCCATTTTTAAGTTTTTCAATAGGAATCAAAAGCATATGATTGTCGGAATGATTACTGGTTAGAAAGTGTTCTGAAACTGCAGTAAGGATGTAATTACCAACAGGGTTGAGTATAGGTCGTCTGTGTTCATTAAAACGGTCTTAAAATGGTCTTTATATGTTTCTGTAAATTCGTGATATCTCAATAAAACCTGATAAAGACTGGTATTGGCCAGTCGTAATATCGCAGCTAAACTCTATTTCACGTTGTTTGATCAGTCCCTGCAAAAGTCTTCTTGACTTTAACGTTTACAAAGTGCTTAATATTTATGCGTTTTTGAGTGAAAATGCATATTTCCTCAAATGATACAAAGTGCTTAGTTATGTGTTATTTTATATGTCAAGCACAAACAAAGATCATTTTTTGCGGTTTTGACCTGATTTTTAATTCATGGTAAAATTAAAAATATAGGCCAAGATGGCGATCATTGTTGGTGACGTCACAGGTCTCCAGTGGCGCCACCACCCATAAAATATATTTCATCTTGTTGAGAAGATCAGAAGCTTTCCACTGGAAAATCTTTTCGAAATACTGCAACATATCAAAAACTCTCGTGAGCGGTTCTATCTTTTCCACCGATCTCCCCCCTTCCGTACCAAGGTGGGGGGATGAATTTGTGAGGGTTAATCAAAATATGCCTTAAAAAGATGTGCTCTCAGCTTAATCTTAAAAATACACTCTCTATCGCGCGTAGTTCAGATGAAAGTTCATTCCTCATCTTGGGACCACAAAACGAAAAGGACTTAAGTCCATAAGAGTTCAGAAGTAGTTTAGATTGTTGATAAAAAAAAAAAGGTTGAATAAGATACGGCCATGTGGATGGGGATCTCTTACCTGACTGGTGTAGGTACGCGAGTAAAAGTAAATAAAATAGCGAGAATGAATTCATTTCTCACGAAGTTGCTGGAACCATAGATTGTAAACTTGGCTTTCTTCTGGAACTGTGACTGAGGAAAGGAACTGTTTCAATGAGATAAAAAAAAAAAGGTTACAGGTATTTCTGACTGGTTACAAAGTAACAAGTTTTTTTTATTGGTCCGTGGATACGAATTCCTTACGCCCCTTTTTTATTATGTATAAGAAAGAAAAAGAAACAAGAAGAAAATGGATTTGTTATTTTCACGGAAACACTGGTGCGCCAGAATTAGTTTAGTTGGTGTCTTGAAAAAAAGAACAGCTGAGTTTACTCATTGAAATTCTGATCGATTGTCTTTTTGTATTTGCACGTTTCCTTTATTTTTCATCCTTTTGTCACCTTTGCGCTACAAACTCACCACGAAATCAGGTTCTGGGCGTTCCACCAGTAGTACACCTGATATACCCCACACTCACCTTCCCTCGACTTCTATTGGTGCAGAAACAAAAAATTGGTAACTATGAAATACTATGAAATTAAAATTCTTAACCTCATTAAGAAGAACAAAAAAAGAGATCAAAATCAAATAAAGTTCTTTTGTGTGTGACTCAATAATCCATATAATATCTGATCATCATCATCATCATCAACATCATCTCCAGTCAATGGACGCGACCAACACTGTTCCATTGTAGGGTGTTACTGTTTTAGCACATATTTTATAGGTTTTCTCTCCCCCCTAAAAAAAAAAAAAAAGAAAAGAAAAGAAAGTAAGAGTAATTTACCAACGACGTTTAATGTTGATGACGAAGAAATATCTGATCCAACTCAGATCGCGGACCATTTCCGCGCATACTTCGCTAATATAGGACCTAATTTAGCGAACTCAATTTCACCTTCTTTCTTTTCTTTCTGGAGCTTTTGTGAATTCGTTGTTCCTACAACCAACCACTGAGCAGGAAATTATTGAAATTTGTACTAATTTCGTCGTGCAGGAACTGCTGCAGGCTATGACCAAATTATCGAAAATTACTATGAACGTAATTAAAGAAATAATAGATTTAATGGTTCATCTTTAAGTTCTGGTACCGTTCTCGATCAAATGAAGATAGCCCGAGTTGTTCCTTTATTTAAAACAGGTGATTAATTATATGATAAACTTCCAGAAGCGATTGATCAAGGAAAAGTTACCTTGGGTCTATTTATTGACCTATCCAAGGCCTTCGACACTGTGAACCATGATATCTTACTTGCTAAACTAGAGTTTTATGGGTTTCGTGGTGTTGCATTAAAGTTGTTGAGAAGTTATCTTTCTTTTAGAACTCAATTTGTACAGCACAATGGCTATAATTCTTTCTCTAAACACATCAAATGTAGAGTGCCTCAAGGATCGGTTTTAGGTCCATTATTGTTGTAATGTGTCAAAGGCTTTGGATTTCATACTTTTTGCCGACGATACCAACATATTTTTACGACCAAAATCAACAGATGGAAATTGTGAATAACGAATTGAAGAAACGATCAAGCTGGTTTCAGGATAATAAGCTTTCTATTAACTTAAAAAAAAATCAAAGTTTATTCTATTTAAGACAAAACAAAACAGGCTAAAACTTGACTCACATTTTTCAATTAATGATATTTAACTTGATCGTGTGAATGAAGCTCTGTTCTTGGGAGTTTTACTTAATAAACACTTATCTTGGAAATCTCAAATACAGAACGTTGCAAGGAAAGTCTCAACTGAATCAGTGGGCATTATTTACAATCAAGTTTCTGCCTAATAATACCTCCTTATGTACTCTCTGTTGTAGTTTAGTTTATCCTTATTTACATTACTGTGAGAGTGTTTGGGGCTCAACCTATCAGTCAAATCTTAAGCTTTTGATTAATCTTCAGAAACGGGTTATTAGAATAGTTTCCAGGAGTTCTTTTGATGCACATGCCAATGCTATTTCTGTAAGCTTACGAATTCTAAAATTTGAAGATATTATCAAACTCCAAATAGGTAAAAGTTATGCACCATTATAAAAACGGCCTTCTTCCTAACAGTTTCAATGACATGTTTTTGCTTAACTGTGACGTACATTCATACAACACTAGAAATAAGAATTCCTTCCGTTTGCCCTACTGCAGGACAAATGTAAAGAAATTTTCACTTCGTTTTCAAGGGCCCAAAATATTTTATGTCCTTACCTCAGAAATTCAGAATGCCTCTAGTACTGCTTTGTTCAATTCTAAACTTAAGTCATTTTTTTCTTGGTATACGCACACTTTGGCTCTCCCGATGCTTGTGTGTAGTTTTTGGCTTCTTTTGTTTTTTTTTCTCTCGTTTAGTTTTGCATTAATTTTTCTCTCCTTTTCTTTCTCGTTTTTTCACTTACACGCTCAGCGTTCTACAAGGTGGTCCTACACACAAGCCTCATTGGCTTCCTTAGGCTCCCTTCCCTCATATTTTTTTAAATTTTATATGCATATTTTTGGTGTAAGGCCTGTCGCTGGCACTCTCCTGCGAAAGGTGGTGATCCATGTCTTTCCCAGGGACCGCGGAGGGGGAGGGGCTGGTAGGGCCGCCGCCCCACCACTTTTTTGCGCCCCCGCCCCCACCTGTTGCGCTAAAACGCTCCCGCTCCCACTTTTTGCGCTAAAAAGAAAAATAATTAAAATAAAAGAAAGACTTGAAACAAGTTTTTCCGTCTATATTCCGCTATATTCTCTGCACTTTCTTTAATTTCAAACGCCAGGCAGTTTGTGGGGCTCCTGTGCTTTTCGCGGTAATTGTGCCCTGGGGCCGACTTGCCCCTTGATCAAACGCCATGCCTTGGCCACCCCTTCGCTTCGTTCGGCAGCGTGTTTTGTACTTCCAGCTCCGGCAGATTTTTTTTTTTGTCAGACGAAATGAAGAAAATTACTAGCTTTTTCAAGCCAAACGAAGGTGAGTAGTTGTTTTGAGTTGATAGATGTTTTATATTTTGTCTTTCTCCTTTCGAATCAGGGAAATATTCGATGGCAAGAAGAATTACATTACTTGAACAGTGAACGACCATAGTTAGAAATTTTTCAGATCACTTCAGTGTAGTATTTTCTATACTATACATAAATACATACGAGATCTCGCTGACACTCGCGCGAGATGAAAGATATTTCTTCGAGATAAACGAGATGTCGTCAAGAATGCCGACCTATAAAGAGCCACAAATACTGGATAAAGTATGCAAAGTCGCGCGAAAGAAACAAATCAAATACTATGATTTTATTCCTTTTTTCGATTTTCAATATGAAAAAAATATTTTCAATTGTCAGCCCTCCCACTTTTCAGCTTGCTCCGCGGTCCCTGTTTCCATTTCCCTTTTTCCCTCAGCAAGTCGTCTATGAACCTTAATCTAGCCGTCTCTTGGTTAATCAATCTTAAAAAGAACCTAGAATTTGACAGCATCTTTGTTAGTAACTCGAACTCACAATGGCCTGCTCTCCAGTTGGCTTGATTAGCTTGATGGCTAGAGCGTTGCGTCTGGTCATCGCAAAGCTCAGGGTTCGATTTCCAGGCAAGCCTGAATTTTTTAACCGCTTACAATAGGTTTTCTATTCAACTGCAAGGATCATTTCCACGTTCATGTGGAATTTACAAAGTAGTTTTTGATGACAATGTTTTTTTTTTTTAGGAAAAGGGAAAACCACAGGATACGTAACGGGAGAAAAACTTTGCGGAGAAGAGAAGAGAAGCTAAAAGAAGCTCAACCCACAATTATGGCCTCGTCGCTGCTATCTTAGTTTTACCAAAAACGCTAAAACTGGTCAATGAGCGCACACTTTTAGATATTCCTATGCAAAGTGTTTGATTGGCAATCCAGGCGCTTTAGTCATTCTCGTCTGGAACGTCTAGTTCTGTTACGTTCTTCCATTTACCATTTTTGAACAATCACTTTGAGGACCGATCCATTTTGAAGCAATATTTTTATTTATGTTGTGCTCAGATTTTTGTCTTCCTGTTCGAGAATGTCATTTAAAGCGAGTTCTTCACACCACTTCTGAGCTTCGCTGGCCAACTCCTCTGACCAGACAAGAGAAAGAGATCCATGAACCGCTCTCTTGTTATGGACAACCACGTTCATTGCCCGCCGAAATTGTAATCGTTGGCAACAGTAAATGAGTTAAAAATCATCCTTTTTGTGCTCAATTATCTCACTGTTTAGTATATACTAAAACTAGTATATACTAAAACAATTATTCACCTGAGGGTCGGTGGGTAGTGGTGGTGGTATTTACCTCGCCGCTTGGCGGCCTCGGTAAATATCCCACTAGCCACCTTCACTTCGGTGAATAATTGTTATATATTTTATGGGAAAAATGCAGTTACTTAGATTAAATAGACACGTTAAATAGACGAAAACAAACAAGGGAAACGTATTCCTTATGAAGTTATCTGATATCACTTAAATTAAACTTAACTTGGTGTTTTCTCCACTGAATTGTCGCTGAGGAGGGTACTTACTCCCGGGTGATAAAAAAAAAAAAAAAAACGTCTTGGAGATCCTAACTCATTCAGACGAACTGAACTGAGCCAAACGTCGAACTTTTCATGAAACGAACCGAACTTAGTGAGTTAAGTTCATGAAAAGTTTGACGTGTGGCTCAGTTAATAAATTCGTCTGAATGTCTCAGGTTTGAATCCTCCAACATAGACAGAACAGAACTTCTGAAGATCTTCAGGGTGAGTAGTCTGACGTTACGACTTTGTTACGCCCCCTTTTTATTATGTGTAACAAAAAAAAGCAATAACGAAAAAAATTGATATGTAGAGGTGACACAAATTGGCCATTTCTAAGTTGCCCCAAGCCTCTGTTTCGAGGCGAACCTAAGTGGGAAGCCATTGACATGAAAATTATTTTATATTCGCGTGTAAACGAAACTCATTAAACGCAAGAAGCCTTGTTTGAAAGTGAGAGCTTTCGCAAACAAAATGACCTAACATAAGCAACAAAGAAGTATATAGAGGTAGATATTTAAAAAAACGTAGCAAAGAAAGCCCACTGTCTGAAAGCAGACCAGCTGGCCACAAGCTTGTGTAAAGGCTATAAGATATCGGGACAATCGAGAACACACACGGCAAGTTGCAAGAGGGAGATTTGAACCCGGGGTAACCGAGTTGAAATTCAGGACTCTTAGCCACTGGACAATGTTGCCTTCTGGTAAGGATAAAGAGTAGAGAAAACAAACAAAACATATTAAACAGTTCTCTACAGTAGGGTACAGAGGTATGATATGAAGACTCGGCCTTTCATCCTCGGTGGATGACACTCTCCTACATAAGCCGAATTCAATAATTATTATCACTATTCTTTCATCTTTCTAAGTTCGATTCTTAAAATTTTCACCTCCAAGAAGGCTTTCTTCAAAACAATCGCCTGTTTCTCGGTATATACACCTTTTCTGCGTGACGTCAATGTGAATGACAATTGATATAAATCATGTCAATGGTATATTGCTGGCATCTTCCAAATTTGGTCAGAGCCTACTGGTTTTGAAGAATTAGCCGGGATATTAAAGCCAATGAGAAAATGATCGGTGTTCAGTAAATAAATAAATAAATAAATAAGACCTGAGATAAGAATTCAGCAGTTTTGTATTGTTCCTCAGTTGCAAATGATAGACGGCACTGTAATGTTTAAAGGTTTTACTAAACGCTGTGAAACACAAAAACATAATCAGTGAATAGAACTGGTTCAGTAGTTTTTGGTGACATGAATGATCCAAGGTTTGAGATATTTTACGTTCGTGTAAATATTTGGAGATCGGACTCTTGAGCACCTCTTGCCATGACTCACAATTCCCCCAAGATAAAACTTCCCATTAATGTAGCATGCTAAAGGCCCGCCACTGTCCCCTTTACAAGTATCAAGAATTCTCTCGGTGTACCCTGAACATAACATACTATCAGTTAACCAACGGACATTCCTTCGGCATTCATCGGGCGAAATTATGGGGACATCGATTCTACGAAGTGTCCCTGCAGAATAATCAAGACCAAATCCCGTCACTGTACAAATTTCTCCCCCGGAAAATGACACAGATTGATCGGGCAAGCATATTGGTCTCATGTAATCGTTGTATTCCTTAAGCGGCGTCTTTAGTTTCACTAGTGCGATGTTGTAATCTTTCGTGTTTCTTCTATGCAATGGGTGTCTGATAACTTTGACAGCCTCAGCAACCACCTCTTGGCCTTCCTCATTTTGATCGTCAAATTCACCCAGGATAACTTTCAGCTTAAATTTGGGATTTACGCGGACCACAAAACAATGTGCGGCTGTCAAAATCCATTCTCTATCCAACAAAGATCCACGACAAAACACGTTTGACTTGCCAAACTGGTTTTGATATCTGAAACCTACTTCCCAGGGAAATTCACCAGGCTTAACGGGTTCGTCTCCAGTTGGTCCCCCTCTCTTGACTATTCCACACGTAATATCTTCCAAGGGTTTTTTCTCCATTTCTCGATTGTCCATTTCTGAAAGTGACAATTATATTAATGCCTAAGTAAAAGAAGACATACATGCAACAGCATAGTAGATAAGCCAAATTAAGTCTATTTTTCTTATTTTCCCCCCTCCTATTTCAAACATGAACGACAATGGTTTTATTATAAGCGTGCGTCGCTATAGTTCACTTGATTCTGAGAATTGGAGCTTCACAACTTCAATGGGATGGATCCGTCTTATAGGCAAAAAGAATACGCAAAGATAACTTGTCTATTCTTAAGGAGCTTGAATTCCTAACTAAACTTATGCTAGGCAGGAGTGCGGCATCCCTTCCATATTTGTCTGTTAAAAAAACTACAAGGTTTGGACAACTATATTTTGCGACACCAGATAAATTATAGGTGATTTTTGGGTTCCTGGTCAAACCCTGAAGCAGTCTTACGTAAACCAAGTATACCTTTTAGAGTAAAAGTGATAATCGCCGCAAGATTTGTGATTCACTACATCCAAACAAGAATATCCAGACATTTTTTGAAAAATGGAAAGTGCCCATACTCGCCCTACAAAGCTGCTGGGCGCAGAAGCCTTTCCTCACCTTAATCCATCCTAACCAGACGAGCAAATTTCACCGGCAATCTTGACGTTTTGAAGTTGTGATGTTGCGAAGTTTTGCATGAATGAATTCCCACGCACAAAGATACTAAAGGGAGGAATTTTCTAACGACCGAGGCTTGGTGGTGCAGTTCCTCTGACGCAATCATGCATAAGACACTCTTTATTTAGTTAGCCCGAGAAAACACATTTCCCTGCGAAATGACAGCTGAGGAACTTCCTTGAGAAATTCCATACTGATGAGGCACCACTAACAAGATCCTGAGGGTGCTTGTGATTGGTCGTGCCGTGAGGGAAATATGCTTCAACCAATTAGAAGCACTACCCAGATTTCGGTAGTGACACGTCATCAGTACGGAATTTCTGCGCTCGTTCTTCAGACGTCATTTCGAGAGGAAATTGGTGGTGACGTCGCGAAATGTCCGCTGTTTTCTCAGGCTATGTTTAGTTTCTGATGATAAATATAGTGCATGCAGTGTCTTACTTTCATCAGCCATGCTTTCACCTTCACCGGTCGGTGATGAGTTCATCGTGTCTTCTTCTAAAGCGAAAAATAATACAGAAGATGTTCGATAAATGGTTGTTTTCCTCAAATGCGTAGATTCCCATAACATTTCCCAAAACTTAAGTCAATCTTTTCTCTAAGGGCTGGAACTGGAAGGCTTGTTAACTGTACATTTATTAGGATTACTTTTCATCAATATCAGTTAAAAATGTTGGTTTTTCAGTCCCATTCAAAATGCCAATCAGTGTAATGTGGTCGATAATCACACAATCCGGCAGAGTCGGGTTGTTTAAGCCCTGTTACGTTAAGTTGTGTTCTAATACAGTAAAACCTACATTAGGGCAGACGACCTTTCCAAACGAACAAGAGTATAGCCAAATGGCGGACAAAAGGGATCGAATGGAGTGTTGGTCACGGATGATTTCTTCTTCCATCCTTATTGTCAGATATAAAAAAAGGAAACAGAGATCAGTCCACTTCAGATTTTCTTTGGAGCTATGCAAGACGCCCAATGACTGATTCATTGGGAGACGGTTCGCTCTAATACTTTCCCTCGATTTAGGGCTGTCCGTAAAAAACAAGTAGTCTCTTAAGTGTATTATGTAACCGATCCTGATCGTTACATTTAAGTAATACCTGATTCTCTAGTTGTATTTGGTTCTTGTAATGTGCCTGTAAGGAACGACAAAAAGACAAATAAAGCAGTTTAGTAACTATCACAAGAGGTTTTTTGTAGATGACAGGACTCTTCAATACCAGGAAGGTCGCCCATGACCAGTTATAACTGAATCCCTACTTTGGTGTTTATTTGAATACAACTACGCAAGTTTCATTTTAAGAGAGAGGTGGAAATCAGAAAACGATGAAGAAGCCCCCTTGCCAAAAATGATCCTGTTAGTGCGCATTGGTGAGGAGCAGGAGAGAGGAGATATTGGCAACGTTATGCTCCGATGACTCCATATAAATACTTCTAAAAGAGGCCTCGATCGTTACGATCCAAGCCATCTGTAGAAGGATTTGTATGGAGTCATCACTGCAAACCGGTGCACTCCTGACCAATTTGCACTAACAGGCTGATTTTTGGCAAGGGGGCTTTTTCCATCTTGTTCTTTCTGTATATGTTAGCCAGTCCCATAATTCCACAAATTTGAATTTTAGTGACGTCCCACTTCTTTTCTTTATAAGACGGACATTTCTCTAAGGCGTACTCACATTCCCGGTCCCAAGGCATTTGTCTTAGCGAGTTTTGATCGTATTAATGTTAATTTTCTTTTTTGTTGCTGCCATAACGGTCCTCACAAGAAAACGAGCTAAAGCCGCATTAATTTTTATCTAACACTTCTTTTGTCTTAATCAGGGCATTGTCATGGTGGAACCATTGAGGACATTTTCAGAGGGTCAGAACATTTACATTATTCCATTCAGGATGGCATGCTAATTTATGATAATATTATCAAAAGCAGCTGAGCACAACCATGATATTTTGCATATACAAAGTCGGATATTATCAACATAGTCTCATTTCACTTTATCATAATACCTTTAGAAAACACATTTCTCCTGAACGCTTCTGGTCCACCGGACCCTCCTTTAGGAGAATACCGTGCCACTGATATAAACCCGAACGATTTAGAGATTGCGCTACCGACGCCAATCTCCATAGATGCATTCCAAATAACCTAGAAAAAATACATGTAGTTATCTTTCTCGAAGCTTTCAACCTTAACATATGCACATGTTAACGGAATATTCAATAAGTTAATGTGAAACTCGACGCGCGCGCCATAGATTTTAGTAAAACTAACGCCATGTTGTATTGGGGGCGCCTTTTTGACAATCGGACTTTGTGTAAACCTCGTGGTCTCAGTTAAGCTAAATGTGGAACAGCTGTATGGATATTGACCGTTCTACGGTTGGAGAACAGCACATGTCCCAGGTAGTGTCAATGTTTGAGAATATAAAGGCAAAATATAATACTGACAAAATATACAAACAGTCTTACCTGTGCAAAATGTTTGATTGGTAAACCAGATTCTTTTGCTGTCCCTTGCTGATAGTTGTAGTTTTTTCCTTCATCGTACCAGTTTTGTACTACCTCGGCGCAAGTCACACAATTCGGTTTCCAAGGTCCTTCGCATTTAGGCTGAGGTGGCACGAACCAAGCGATATTTTCTCCCTCGTCTCTTTCGGCTAAACTCTCCCCGTCATGTTCGATTTTGTCGTTAATTGCAAGATATTCCGCCCATTTCTGCGCGTCCTCGGCGAGGGCTTCAGACCAGGAGAGGGGCTGGGCGCCATGGAGCCTTCTCAGCTTGTTGTGTTCAATGACGCAGTCACGATCAAAAAGATCATAGCTAAGACCTAGAAATTTTCAAATGTGACCAGCTAAGCTCTACAGGAAAACCAAATTGTCAAGTTAAGCATTCTTTTAGAGGACACGCCCGCTACATATTCCTTTATTTTGATCGCATGCAGACTGTTAAATCTGTACATTTCAATCAGCGCAGATCACCCCAACACATGACCATTCTTATAAAAGATAATCTATGTGATCATACATGTAGGATGTAGGATCAGCATGATCCGAACATTGCCTCCCTATAAGCCCTATAGACATACATACAAGAGATTATATTATAAGCAAGATGCAGATTTGGCCATTTAAATGAATATTCACTTTTGGTGAAATTTTGACGTGGTTTTATTATTCTTAGAATTATTATCATTATCATTCCTATTATTATTGATTATTTTATTTATTTTTTCTGCTTGTCAAGAAGCCCCTTACACCCTATGAAATGAAGCCCCTCTGTAAGAAGGAACGTTTCCTCTTGATGCATGGCGAATGTTGGCAGCCGACTCTAACGAACGTAGATTTTACTTCATAAACATGCAGTAATATTAACAATATTATGTTATTTTACCTGAGAAGAGCACCAGGCAACAGATATACAGTTGAAGAAGAAAATAAAATGCCATTGACGCCTTTTCTTGCCAGTCACATCTTCAACAAAGCAAAAATAAAAACTACGATTGTATTAGCTACATGCGCGGAATTTTAGTTACCGGTTTCTTCTTAAGACGAGGAAGCACATCCTTCTAACCACTCTTAAATAAAAATCACTTTTTTAAATGTCAGCAACGCATTTTATAACAATCATAAACAAAGTGTTGGCAACAATCGTTCAAAGATAGTCTGTTATATTGAAAATATCAGAATATTTACTAAATAATATCCCTGAAACGATAAAGGTTCAATTAACTCAAATGCCAAATTTCTTGTACGTTTTCTTTTTTGTAATATTGGTAGCATATCAAACGAAACTAAAAATTTGGTGTATGTTTTTGGATTAAAGTATCGATTTACCTTTAAATAGGCGACTCTCTTTTTCTCTCTTCTACTACGGAAAAAACAAGTTGTCCGCCATATTTGATACTGACAGAACTATTGAACTGTGAACTAGGTGGTAAAACTAGAAAACAAAATATGGCCACCCGCTTTTCAAATAACTGCAAACACGTTGACCAACTAAACTGGGTCGCTTTATTTCAGTATCACTGATCGACTGCCAATTTCTTTTAGACAACAAATACATTATTGAGTGAACCCGTCGGGAGGATGAACAAAAACATCAATTAAGTGGAACATGACCACGATTCTCTGCTTATGTTAAGAAAACCTGCTAAAATAAATACTTTTGACTGAGCTTGAAATAAATTAACTTTTCTAGATAAAAATAGGGATCTATTTCATGGCTGTTCGGAGAGTTAGTAACATCTGATTTTCTTTTTTTTTTTCCAGCGAAACGGAGGCCGTAAAAATAAACAACCATAAAAATATTCTTTATGGGCGTCATTTCTTACCAGCTGAAAGCAGACTGGGCTGTCATTTAACCTGTTATTAGTTTAGTTGATTCGGATGAAAAAAATTCAATAGCTAAAGATGTATATCATTCTGTTTTTCCTACATTTTATTCCGGCAGCTCGATCAGGTAAATTTTTATCTTATTTACTTTAGCACATGCCCCAAATTCATCTATGGTATACGTCTCATTATTTCTGTAACAATGACCTATCGAGAACTAATTGAAAACAAAAACAATAAATGTGCAGGATGGATTCTGCCATTTAGCTTAGTTAGTTTCATTTCCTTTCGTCGCATGAAAATCTTGAGTTGTCTAGCATTTAGCCCGTATTAATGTTAATTTTTTTTTCTTTATTTTGATGTCGAATTCGTCAGGGAGCCGCATACACCCACTTCAGTACATGCAGGAATCTGCCCTTATGGAAGCAGTCAATCAAGGGTCTCCTGAGAGTTGGATTTGGCAGGCAGGACTCAGGCACCCAAATGAAAAAAGCGTGTTTTGTGGTGGAGTACTGATAAGCCCCTCTTGGGTACTTACCGCCGCACACTGTGTTTTTTACATGAAGGACATGGCACCAACACCTTTGATTGAAGTCATCGTCGGCGAAAGAGATCTCAAGTACAAAGATGGCCTGGCAACAAACGCGACCGAAGTTTTCATTCATGAGAATTATGATAGTAGCACTCAAGACTACGACTTTGCATTACTGCGGCTTGGCGATCCGATTGAACCGAGTCCGTTACAGTACATTCACCCGGTGAAGCTCCCCTCCGAGGATTTGGACTTCGAGTCTGGAACGATCTGCTTTGTTTCTGGATATGGAATTCCAAAGGCCGGAAGCAATGTGTTTGCAAAGCTGGTGATAGTCAAAGTGCCGATTGCAAGCCAGAGAGCATGTAAAGCTGTGTATAGAGATCATATCATCACACCAAGGATGTTTTGCGCAGGGTTCGAAGAGGGAGGTGGTGACGCTTGTCAGGGGGATGGTGGAGGACCACTGGTCTGTAAGAGTGAATTCAGCTGGTATTTAAAAGGAGTCGTGAGTTGGGGGCAAGGATGTGCTGTACCAGGCAAATATGGCGTTTATGCTAACGTAAAGACAGTTTTGGGATGGATACAACAAACTACGATGTCCGCAAACGCGACAGGACCAATTATCTAGTATACCTATATTATTATAACTCATTATAACTATAAACCAGCATTTCTAGTATCATTAACTGACGAATGTGCTAATTATTAAAACTTGCGATCGAAGATCAAGTTCTATTACCTTCGTTTTGAAAAATAACAAGCGACTCTCTTTCAACCGAATGTATGAAGCCTTTGATTAATTCAATTGTAGTTGTCCTTTTCGATCATGTAAGAAAGTAACGAATTAACTGTTTTCACCGAGAACATACTGCACCTTGTTTACCCCCCAAAATCTGGCATAGGCGCAGTCGTCGATTTTTCTTGGGGCGACTGTAACACCCTGGAGAAATTGGAAACAATTGTTATGTAAGTTTGGAGGGTAAACAAGGTGCATTATGGTCCCGGTGAAAATAGTGAATGATTGAGATTACGACAAAAATGACACCATTTTTGACGCCTATGAAACCTGCTAAGAATTTCATTTTCTTAATTTAAGACACGCCTTTACCGAACTTTAAAAGGCAAAGAAGTCATTTTCAGAGAAAATGTTTGTGATCTTAATTCTATTCGTCGTCCTTTTTAATTTGCGTCACATCTCTTCAGGTAATGAGAAATACCTAGACGTGGCCGACACCTAAAGTAACGGAACAAGATATTCAGTCCTATTATTTAAATTTTTTTCATCCCGTTCTCAGCGCTAGCCATATATAGCCCTTGATTATTATTAGCCACATATAGCAATTTTATTGATTTTCATAACATTTTCGTAGTTTATTGATATTTTCAAGTTTTCATACATTTCAGTTTTTCCTGAAATGACCACTCACTCTTGAACTCATTTAACTTTCTGAGACAACAGGAGTTAGTTAGTAAGCGAATTGTGGAGGCTATATTAAGCAGATTTTTATTTTAATTCTTTTTGGTCTTGCGTGATATGAGCGTAACTTAAAGGGGTTTTGTGATGCTGAGTTCGACATTTTTTGGGCAAAGCTGATCTGATATTATGTCTAAATATCCTCAGTCATATTTTACTTTACTTAGAACGTAAAAGAAAGAGTTCATACGATTTTATATGAGTAAAAGTAAGGCACTATCGGTGTTTGGTCATTCATTATAACTCAGAAGTTGAACTTGAAAAAGCTTCCCAATTTTTCCAAAATGTAATCTGTTTCCACCCCAGCTAGCGCTATGGAACAAACGCCAAACACTGACACTCTTACCTGAGGTATCGTAGTTATAGAATGATAAAAATGAACCATTATTTCAGTAATCGTGACCTAGCTCCTTTATCAGCCAGCACGTAAAATCATTCATTCCTTAAGGTGACCAAAGAAAAGAAAACTGCTCCTATCAAGTCACAGACATCGTCAGCCAGTCAAACACAAGGATAGTGGGTATAACAACTTATTTATTGGTTTTTGTCTAGAAATTTCTGCTTGTGCCTTAATAATTCCTTGCTTTGTTATTGCACTGCTACTAATTATATAAACCTTTTTAAATCCAGGCTGCAAGGGGACACCCCCACATGTTCCGTGGATTCCGATGCCTCCGATCCCAGCAGGTCCAGGTACAGAGAGATATCTGCAATTGCGATTTTTAAATAAAATTACAACTAAACAAAAGCATATGTACGGCCAGATTCTTCTACTCAAGTGAGCAAGGTTTGGTTTTGATGCCTTTTAATTTTTTTCGAGTTTATGTTGCGGGACGCATTTATCAGGGTACAGTATAGTTTCCAAAAGGCTCTAATGGGTCGAGCAAAAAGTCAAAGCCAAAAGAGCCGGCTGTTAACTATATGAATAGTCAGACTAGCGTTGCTCTCTTATTTGACTGATGACCAGTGACCTTATAATTTGGTTTCTGTGTCTAGGTAAAGCTTCCCCACCCGCTCCACCGATGCCTTCGGGGCAGCAGCAACCGAGTTATATTGTAGGAGGCCAGACAGCTGAAATAGGAGAGTGGCCATGGCAGGCAGGACTAAAGCGGTCCGCAGAAGACACTATTTTTTGTGGTGGCTCTCTCATTAAGTCACAGTGGATAGTAACTGCTTCACATTGTTTATATGATATGGTTAGGTACACTACAACCCCTGGTAAAATACCACACATAGAGGTAATCCTGGGAGAATTTAATCAGGAGAAAAAAGGAAGAAAAGAAGTTTTAGTAAACGTTTCAAAATTGTTCCTTCACGAACAGTTCAATCCTGAAACCATTGACTATGATATCGCATTGCTTAAGCTAGAATCTCCCGTAGAACTGTCGAAAACTATAAGACCAGTCTGCCTTCCTGAAGAAAGCATGACATTCAGACCTGGAACAATGTGTTACGTCACTGGTTTTGGTGTTACGGAGCAGGGAGGAGACGTGTCAGCCACTCTTCAAGAAGCCAGTGTACCAATTGTACCTCAGAAGACATGCCAAGAAGCTTATAAAACAAAAAAGATAACTACCCGAATGTTTTGTGCAGGCTTAGCCGAGGGAGGCATTGACGCGTGTCAGGGAGACAGTGGAGGGCCATTAGTCTGTAAAAAGAACGACTCTTGGGTATTAAAAGGCATTATCAGTTGGGGAGTCGGTTGCGCTAGACCCGGGGCTTATGGAGTATATTCCAATGTCCAAACCTTTCTTCCGTGGATCCTCAACATTATGAACAAAGAGGCTCCCCAAGACTCGGAGATTAACTTAAGCTGATCACCGCTAAAGATGCAGGTCTAATACTGCGAGATCGGAGCTAGGGAAATTGAATTTTAGAAAAATTAATGATTGTGAGAATAACCGAATTAAGTTCGCGATCTATTTATTACTACTTAATAAAATGGATGTAGAAATGGTATAGTGTCTCTTGCGTCTTCTCTTAGTCTCGTGAGTCTCCTAGTCGTAATCCGAGCAGTTTCTTGTCCTGCTTTAACCAATTTCTTAACTGGTATATATTAACCTGCGCTTTTAATGTCGTCTTTACTATTTTCAAAATTTCGTTACGTAATGTTTGACAGGACTGAAAAAAAGTACTTTTCATACCTGAACTACTTTCTCAGCTTGTTCAATTTACTCTGGTAAACGTTTTTACCATTATCAAGTTGCACATTCGTTACTTATAAAGTTATAAACAGGTTAGTGAAATTTCGAACCCTTTCATTCAAGAGGATTACTGTGATTTTTTTTTTCACTGACATGTGTATTCATTAAAAGGCGAGACATGGTCATACATGGGAAAACCCTGTGGTGGATCGAATAGAGATAGCTTTTGTTTAAAGGACGGGGACGACTACGAGTACCAGATTTGACTTAAAGTTTTTTCGCGTATTATCAAAATATAGACTCCCCAAAAGCTTGATTTTACCATTTTTCAAGTTAGCACTATTGCCTTTAGTGAAGGAGGTTACAACCTCTCCCGATCGCAAAATGATAAATCGAGATAAAACTTCTAACATCTGATAACTTGTTTTCCCCATTTCGACCCAAGTTCTCACTAAAACTCGTAGTAGAGTGACAACGGCTACCACGTTTTCCCGCCAAAATGGCGCTGGTTCACGCGCAAGCAAAATTTCGTACTCGTTGTTGTACTCATATTAAAATCTAAAGGTCTCTATTAACTCAGACACTGTCAGCCAGGGGCACTACTTTCTGGTGCTTACTGTTACAACAGTTTGGTTAGGCCAGGATAGAGTCGCCGCCTAAAGCAAAAGGTTTAAGTGGGTCTTTGCCAAATTATCCAGTGCCTATGTACATTAAAAAACAGTCTCAATTGAATTCCTTTTTTTTTTTTTTCCTCAAATTTACTTTATTAGTTTTAAAATCGTCTTTTAATGGGTTGATTTTGAAAGTTTTTAAGCAAATTTTCGATATTTACATCACATAGATGACTAGTAAAGATACATCACAACCCTAATTAAAACTAATTATTATGCTTCGGCAATTGGGTTTTGTGCTCTACACATGCACCTAATAAGCTGCATGTAAGCATCAGGATTGATTCATGTGCAAAGGAACATTGTTTAGACAGCCGCACCAGTTTGCTAAACCTTGAATATGTTTCACTAGCCGTCTTACAACCATGTCAAATTCGCAACCCCGAAAGGTAAATGCAAACTATTTGCCACCTGAAGGAGCAAGTACAGCGAATTCGGAAAATGGGATCGAGAAGACAAGAGACAAAGTACTCTTAAGAGGAAGATAGTCTCCCACTCAGCCATTTTTTATCTGACGGCGCGCGCAACAAAATTAAGAGCGGCTATGTGTAGAAGACTAAAGAAACAACTGACTTAAACGTAATGGTGCAGCAGTTTACAACATTCAAATTATATACTTTATGGCATGAAAACTTTTTTAGTGTTTCAAGTCATTTTGACTCGCATCATCGGGTCAGTAATACAGGCGAATCTCCCACAGGCAACACCCGAAGAAAACTGCAGGAGTCCAACTATATGGATTGGCAAGAACATTTTTTCATGGAAGATATTCGTATTCGAAAGGTGGTCTTTTGGATTTGATTTTCGACTATATTGATAATTTTATTTGCAAGTTTTTCAGTGTCCTAAAATTTTTATGTAATTATTCAACAGGCTGAAATTACCCATAAGTCTGTCCTGTGGGTGATAGGCTCTTGCCTGTGGTTAACCTGGTTTCTATTTATATGGTGAAAACCAGCATGAAAAAATAGGGACACCTTTCGCGGGAACAAGTTTACGCTCTTATTTCAAAAACTGTTATTGCGATCCATTATTTCCAACCTTGGACTTAAGATTCTTTTTTTGATCTATTTTAACTATTATTTATTTATTTGGATAAAATTGCAACCATGTAAAACGCGTTCATCAGTCAAGATCGTCCCACAACCACGCCCAGTGTGTACAAACACCTGTTTATCTCGACTGGCAGTACCAAACGAAATACCATTGACCTCTATCAAGGAAGGGATTAAGTAGTGAGTGGAAATTTATCGATATTATCCTTACTTCTTTAGTTCTCTTTTAGCTGGAGCAGTAAGTATAATAAAAAGATAAGGGTGCTCTTTGAGGCCAACAAGTATATCAAATTTAACATCAGAAGGATCATCAGGCCCCCGTAGTTATTGAAGCTTGTGATTGAAGTGAGTGGAAATTTATCATTATTATTCCGTCCTCTTTATCTCTCTATACTCTGGAGTATAATAACAAGATGAGGGTTCTTCATCGAATTTGACATCAGGAGGGAAAAAAAAAGAAAGAAAAAATCAGGAGGATCAGCCGGGCCCCGTAGTGATTCAAGCCTTTTCAATAGCAAGTTACGATTTTCTTTGGAGTTTCATATTATCTTACACTCAAACCATGTAATTCAATGGTTTTAAAAGTGACGTGTAATGAACTAAGTCCCTGCGTCGGGGTTGTGATTTTCATAGTCCCTCTGACTAATATTTTAACTTCCATAAAACGAAAGTAGCCTGCACTAAAAAAACTACGTAAAGTAATTTAAAGCTAAGGTCTACTGGAAGTTGTAAACATTGCCTACGTGGATGATTTCGTTATTACTTTTCGATTTGAAAGTTCGGTAAATCTTTTCTCTCTTTTTCAGGAATGGAGACGATGCACGTTCGTTTTTCGAAGATGGTTCTCCTTGTAATCTCCCTCTTTGCAACAGGTTATGCTTTCTACGATCTGTTCAACCTTTATGCTTATTGATTTCATATATGCAAGGGCACATTATGAAAGTAGTATTCGCAATATCTTGGTGATAAAATTTCAACTCCGAATATCTTAGACGAATGGGACGGACTTCTCCAGGAATTTTATCCTTTCTCGACCTTTAGAAATTTTCAAGCAATATTTGCTTCTTCGAACAGTTATCACTTTACAGGAAAAAGTCCCTGGATACGTCTAGAGTATAAGATCAGAGCAGTACAGTCAGGTTTTTTTCTCAAGTTAAATTAGAATTATTAATAATAATGTGAAAGATCAGATGAGAGGAGTAGATCATCATTTCTTCTTACACATTCATAATACTATAAGAGCTATACTAATAAGCGGCCGTCCTAGATTCTTACACGGGAGGGGCTACTAAGATGTAGGTTAATACACCTGAAACCACACTAAAACCAAATCACCAGAGGACGAATCCACCAATATACGATAAGCTTCAAAGGATCCTACTGCGCCCAAAAAAAGAAATTTAACTAACCATTACATGTAGTACACAAAATTAATGTATTAAGAGCATTAGCATGGTACCTCTTTTCAACTGAAAGTAAAATTGTACGAGGCCTAGCATGGGTTAAAGACCACTTATAAATAGAGGTCAGTTTTTGGCTTTTCCCTCCACTGACGACTGAACACCAGGATTCATTGTCTTATTATTAGTTGTTGTTGTTGTTATTATTTATTACTTTTATTTTCATTGAATTTCCAATATGATTTTTAATTATAGGATTTATCATTGTAGGTTTAGCCTACGATGCTTTTGACAGGAATTGCATACGAATTCATAACAAGCTAAGGGCACTACATAACGTATCAGCACTTCACTGGTCTGAATCTCTTGCCCAAGATGCCCAAACCTGGGCCGAAAATCTGGCAAGCACGGACCGCGCGGAACACGATTACCAAGACCTTATTACTAAAGGACAAGGAGAGAACATTGCATGGATGGCCGGTCCCGTAGAGAGGTGCCAGGTACCTCCGAAACCAGGTTGCATCAGCTGTGAAGATATCGTTAGAAAGTGGTACAGTGAGAAAAAAAACTACGATTTCCAAAAAGGTGCTCCAATCTCTGTTGGACAATCAACCAGTCACTTTAATCAGGTGATCCTTTTTTTGATGATAATCAGTCTAATCAATACATACAGTTGTACTTACATTTTCTTCTTTCCCGAAACTTCAATGTGCATGGCAGCTAAAAAAAGAAAAGCGTATCTTCGATCAGCAGCAGATTTTTTGGGACTTTAGTTCAACAGGTATATTTTTCGGAACCATGACAACCCCTCCACCTCCCCCGGATCAATATTGCCTTGTTGTTGTTGTTTTTTTTTTTGGCCACAGATCGCTCCATTTGAGGTAAAATATTTTTATTTTATTGCAAATGAATTACATTTTTTTCGCTTAATCCACAGCGATATATCTCTAAATATGGATCAATGTTACATAAGCGTTTTATTACCTTACCTGTGGTATATTGTGGTATAATGTATTTTGCGTTCACCGCAAACGGTAAATCCAATGCATGTACTATAAAATAGCAATCGGTTACACAAACAGATTATGTGGTTGCCCTGTGGTGATTGAACTAATTTTGTCGCCGATTGTGTGCATTTCTATAAACAAAAAAGGTTGTCTGGAAGTCCACAAAGGAACTTGGAGTGGGTAGTGCACGCAGCGAGAAACATGGGCTAATTGTTGTGGCAAGATACAGTCCAATGGGTAGTACTGGAGGACCTGCATCTTTCATGGATAACGTCCCTCCTAGTAAGTTATACAGCAAGATGTTTTCAATAAACTGTTGAGAAAATAAATGGGAAGAAACGAATACAGGAAGACATATGGTTCTCTTAACTTCCATTAGTGTAAACATGCACTTTCTGATCTGTTGCAGTTTGTTGAAGTAATAAGTTGACAAGGACTTGTTCACCCCGCAATTAAACAATATTGATACAACTATAACTCAGTTATAGCTATCCCAGTAGTTTTATTGCTCTCCTTCCCCCCACCCCCAAATAAGGATAGAAACAAATATTTGAAAATATACATAAAAAGGTCCCAACTAGCTGAGAAAAACCAGTTGGCCATTTACAATCGTGACCAGGAAGCTGAATTAGGGACTATTAAGAGCAAATTAAGCTAGCAGTTGGGGCGAGGATTGAAATCGGGACCTCCGGATTACAATTCCAGCTCCGTAACCGCTCTGCCCCCCTGAAATAAGACAGCCTTCCACCAGGGAAATCCGTTCTGAGCAAGACATATGGGCGTAAAGTGCAGATTTTGAACACACTTGAGGTTCAGGACGGTAAAGCCAATATTTTTACTCTTATTATTTTTTTTTTACTCATACCGGCATCGCTTAGAGCAATTATCAATAAAAAGATAATTAAAGGGTTGTCGCATCTTGTTGACAACAGCGATTGATGTCAACTTCTTTAACACAATGAAAATCAATGTAGCTCTTACTTGATTGTCGGATCGGTGAGATTATGGAAGCAGAGCCACACTCAGATTGGTCTCCTAGCTTATTAAGGAGTTTATTTCTAGTATTCCGAAGAGCACCCCTGTTGCATTCATTATGGGAGTTACCCCGTGGAACGTCCACTTTTCAGTGTGGCCAGGTACAAAGACGGTGGCTTTTCACAAACTTACATAACAACAACACACTTTATTAAGAAACAGATATTTACAATTTGATTAGTACCTACCCACAAAAAGTTAAAACTAGTCGAGGCGGGTAGGTATGATCAAGTTCGGCTTATTACAACTAGGGTTTTAGCGCTATACATATTTACTTACAAGGATTTCAAATTAGCAGCAGTTAAGGTTACAATAAGTAGTAAATTAAAATAAAGCTAGCAGCTATGAAAAAAAAATGCAAATAATAATAGCAAAACAAAATCACAACACAGAGAAAAGAGAGAAAGAAAGAGATTTCACCATACTGGTCGTAGGTACAGGATTGCTACAGTTTTACAAGTTTTTAATTATTTCAAGAATTGAAGATGATGTAAGGTACAAATTCTCTTGTTCAAGACGAGAAGACATGACATAAAATGTTACATGTTAATCCATATCAAAGTTCGATGAGAAAGCAACATTGTTTCTCAATTTCTTCCTTTTAATGAAACTGTAAGGGATAAAGGACACTTAAGCAGTAAAGTGTTGTTGTTTTCATGAAAGATGACTTCGTAGTACTTGGCAATTAACTATGCTTATATTTTAACGTATTTTTAGGTGGAAAAGCCACACTACATTTGGCATGTATAATCCCTAAATTGCTTTAAAGAGAATGGTTCCCTGTCGAAAACTTTGTTACGGGTATATATGCGATGTCAAAATAGTGCTGCGATCTTGTGATGGAAACAAGAAAACATTTTATTGATACAAAACGATAGCTGGTTACTTGACCGATACCCTATTGAAGGTTCACTTTATTTTATTCAAGTTGCTTGCTTAATCTAATTAAAAGAATGCATCATTTTTATTGACAGCTGGAAACCAATCGGAAACAACGGTAATAAAGATTACCAAAGTTGTGCAGAGTAAGTATGTTTTTAGTTATAGAGTGAATAAAATGAATAAGAAGGATGGCATTCAGCTATCAAATAAAAGTTATATCCACTTAAAAAACGACTTTATCCAGCGGTTCGCATAAATTTAACGCGCGTAAATTTCGTTCCTCTGCAAAGACCTTCTGCAACTGTACACGTAACATTCATCGGTGGTCGTCAGGGTGGTGACAACAAATTATTAAACACTCGATCTTGTAGAGTTGAGATTTTACAAGCACAAAAACGCAACTGCAAATTTTTGACATCTTAAAGCTTTTTACAAGAAAGGTTTAACGTTTTATTACATTTGAGAGAAAAAGTCAGAGGAAAAATTTATAAAATGCACAGACGGGAATTTCCAATGCGCATCAAGATTTTATTTTCTACCTTTACAAAAAAAATCTGTTCCGTAATTTTTTTTTAGAAATTAATGTGCATTTGCCATTTTTAATGCAAAAAGCTATGGTCCACACACAAAGTGATATCACCGGCTCTTTTTAGATCCAAATCTCGAGAGACGTTGCCATGGTAACCACTAATGAAAAAATAATAGTTTCTTGTCGAGCAGTCACTGCTTTAATCCAGCTTTACAAAAGTACTCCTATGGCTGTGGTTTGATTTTCGCTCTGTGCGTTCCAAGTTAAAACCGCCGTCAAAAAAGTTGAAAATTGGTACGAGCCACCTCAAATAAAACAAACGTAATAAGTATCCGTTGCAGATTTCAAGGGTTTTTCAAAAGCTGGTTATAGGAAAATCTATCTTTTTCTTTTTCCAACTAACCAAAACATGATTTTCCTCTTATTCCACAGAATTCCCCGCAGGTGCTCAACCGCCTGAAGGTCCGTTTGTGTAATTCACGTTATGATTGTCTTATTAGGGACAACAACTGAAGTAACGCAACATAACATAACATAGCCTTTTTTAAAGTGTCTAAGCGTTCTAGCGCCTCTTGGCACTAAATAAATTGTGGACACATTTAAAACTAATTAAGCTTAACTATTATAAACATATATAAAAGAAGGAAATCTATGTCCGGAAAGGGGCAGATCAAATACCTTGATAAAACACAAGCATATATTGGCAAAAACCCAAAGTTTCTATACTTGCCGTATCTGTGCTGATAGATCGCAAATGCGTCAGCAACACAAGATGACCGTTTTGCAATCGAATACTTGAAGAGTTTTTTATTTCCTTCAGGTCCAACACCTGTTCCTCCTACGCCCGCTCCTTCTCCCCCTGCTACTACCAAACCATCTCGTGGGGCACAGGAGACGACAATGACTTGTGGCATCAGAAAACCAAGCCGCATTGTTGGAGGTGAGGTCGCATGGCCTGGTGCCTGGCCTTGGCAGGCCGGTTTCAAACGCAACGCCGAGGACATTATTTTCTGCGGGGGATCCCTGATAAACAAGGAATGGGTTGTTACTGCATCTCACTGTGTTTATGACATGCTGAAGTACAACAAAAACACAGTGCTGGTGGTTGCATTAGGCGAATTTGATAAAGCCAACAAAGAAGAACAAGAAATATCAGTTAAGACAGAGAAAATCATCATGCATCCAAATTATAATCCAACTACTTTTGATTATGATATCGCAATGGTAAAACTGGAGGCGCCACTGGAAGAGTTTAGCGTGTATATTCGTCCCGTATGCATGCCTACGAACGAACAGAAGTTTGACGAAAAATCTAAATGCTACGTCACTGGATTCGGAAGAACACAGCAGGGTGGAGAGCTTGCAGGAATGCTGCGAATGGCGAAAGTACCATTGGTAAGTCAAGAAACATGTAAGGAAGCTTATGAAGAGAAGTTGACAGACCGTATGATCTGTGCAGGCTTCCCCAAAGGAGGAATTGACGCATGCCAAGGAGACAGTGGTGGACCGCTGAGCTGTTTGTACGAAGGGCGCTGGTACCTGACCGGCGTTGTAAGCTGGGGAGTTGGGTGTGCACAGCCAAATGCTTACGGGGTGTATGCCAAAGTGCAGGAGTTATACAGCTGGGTAGACAGCACTATGAAGGAAAATCAATAGATTGAGATGAGACGGTCTTCTTTAGAGTCAGTTAAATTGTTTAAGATGATTAGGGTAGGCATAATCGCAAGAGCAGTAGTTAACGATTAGAAAAGATGGTGAGAGTGTAAAACAAATTTAGTCCATTCCGAAAGTGATTAAACGTTCAATGAAATACAAGAACTGTGTATTTTTTAACTATTAATTCTCACCGAGAATTACAGTTACAGTTTTCAGTTTAATTTTAACGGTCAGAATTTACTATAACCACTTTAAACTCGATACATTTAAGTCGTCTCCAGGTTCTTACGCGCCTAAATCGATTGTGTTTTGAAGTCGAACGGACAAATGGTCTTGGCGTAAATGCAAATCCCGTAACGACCAAAGACAGACAAAGACGCACAGGTAAATCATTCGGGCTCTCTGTGTAGTTAATTTGTCTGTCGTTGATTAAATTGGCCACATAGTAAATTGTGTCCTAAATAAAGTACGTACGCGCTGTTGGATATGAGTGTGCTAAATTTTGGCTGCCTAAGTGATATCACAAGCATTCATGGATAGGGCATAGACTGTAATTCACTTTTTGTATGTATTGTTAGCCCCTGTCTATCTTGATTCTGCAGATTACCCTCCATCCGCTTTAAGTAAATCCAAAGAAACTACCAAACCCAATAGAAAAACAGCAGCCTTGAATACTACGATCATCATCAAAAGTGTTGGGAAGGTTGCTTTTTTTACCTATTTTTTTTTCTTCTTTTCCCCGTCCCTGGCCCAGTGTTGGACAAAACGTTAATGTTTGTGCGCGTAATTGTTCTGTTATATCGCATCATTGAATAGGGGGGACGGGGATATTTACCAAAAGAAAAATTCTCTTTTTTGAAGATTAAAATGGACTGCTGTTCAGTTGTACAACCTTCCCAACTACTTTTGTCTGTGATTGTAGTATCTTAGTTTGCTTCTTTTTTTTTGTTTTTGTGTTTTTTTATTGTTTTTTTTTTCTTTTCTTTTCTTTTTTCTGTCGTCACTTTTCAGAAGTGCACCGATCAACTGAATGATTGATTTTAATTTACAAATTTGAATTGCGTGATCGCTAAAGTTCAGCGATGACTCAATCGTAACCCCAAGGAGATTGAGAGTTCCACATTTTCAGTTTCCGCTTGTTTACATTTAACGCACATTGTTTGGAATAACGCAAGGTTGATAGATAAAGCCAAGAACCATATAACTGGACAATTATTTTTGGAATTCAATGATGGGACGACATATCCCCTTTAAGCGTTTAAGTTTCCAAACTTTCCCCTACATTGGATGTGTCACTAGGCAGATCTTATCCTGCGAGAATTGATTTGATGATCGTCCACGAACATTGATAAAATAACTATTACGAAGTGGGAAAGAACGTTCGGGAAAATATCCCACAATGAAGGACCTAGTTTAACTCTGTGGAGAGCCTTGAGTCACCGATCTACATTTAATCTACCAATTAAGAACATCAAGTAAAATTAACATCATTAAAAGATTATTTCAAATTACAATGAAATCATCTTACATAGAATCAAGCTTCTACTGCAGAACATACTTAAGATCACAGAGTTAAAACTTATCATCACTACGAATATCTCATTAGTATAAATCTTCCAAGGCAATCAGTGTTGACCATGGATCAGAGAGTCAGACTGAAAATTTCTGATTTCACATTAACGCAGTAAAGAGGCTCTAAATATCCCGTTGCACCCTACCACTGACCTTTTTCTATCCATAACCCTAAACCTAACCCCAACCCTAACTCTAACCCTACCTGTAATCCCACCCAGACCCTAACCGTAAAGATTTAATACCAGATAGTTGTAGGGCATTACAGTGAGCTGTGCTACAAAAATCCGCCAACCACCGCCTGGTTAGCTCAGTTGGGAGAGAGCCGGTCTGCCGAGCGGGAAGTTGCGGGTTCAAACCCCGGCCGGATCAACACTCAGGGGCTTTAAATAACTGGGAAGGAAGTGCTGCCTTTGTAATGACATCTGCAAATGGCTAGGCTTTCTAGTCTTCTCAGATAAGGACGAAAAACCGTAGGTCCCGTCTCACAGCACTTTCTCTGATTTGTTCTTGTTGGACGTAAAAGAACCCAAATCACTATTCGAAAAGAGTAGGGGTCGTGGACCCCAGTGGTGTGGCCAACCTTCACGGGTTGTGGGATTGGGTAGGGATGGCACCTCGCATGGGACATGAGTCCCGTTCGTGCACATTCCCTCTGGGTGGGCCTGTGTCCAGAAAAGCTGGTAAATGAAATAAATAAATGAAATAAATAAAAACGGTGTGACAAGCTAGGTTTGCTGCTTAATCTCAACAAGTTGTATAGGGATAAATAGGACTAAAAGGTGGTGCATGTTCAAGACCTAACCGAATACGAGCCCATTATAACCTTTCGAGGACGGAAGGTGTGACTCATGACCTCTTTTAAGGTAAACTTAGTGCATAGCCATAGACACCTGCTGTCCTTCTGCACTTGTCACTATACATGCGTGTTTCATGGCATCGGTACACCCCAGGTGGCCAGCTGGTAGTAAATTTACATCTGCAGCCTTGAACGTGCCAAAGAATTCACAGCATCTGATCCCAACAATCACTTGCTACGAATCGCATTGAGGTCTGTTATCTCTCCCCATCACCTTGAAATGTTACAGTCCTTTTGAGGGGATACTCGATCTGCATAATATTTCATCTTTCACTCAGACACCTATAATATTAACAATGATACGGTATTTATTGATTTGTATTGCGCAAATATCAATCCGCAGGGAAAGAAATTTTCATCTGAGCATTACATTGACTCAACAAAATCCTAACATCCTACTACATACTCCAATTCAAAAAATTCTAAAAACAATTACTAATTAATCCTCAAAGTCTTATAAATTTTACAGATCGCACTAAGTCTAAAATTTTAAAAACAATGACCAGTTATTCTTTAAAATCCTATTTACAAATCCTTCTACTTTATAAAGAGAATAAAACCAATAAATTAGCTGGGAAACGCTTTCTGAAATAATTAAATGAGTTTTAAGAGCCTTCTCAAAAGCATTAACTGAAGATATATTTCTAATAAAAAGGGGAAGATCGTTCCATAATTTAGGGGCAGCCATATAAAAAGATCCATCACCAAGCGTGGAAAGAGACTTGCATGATGGAATGTTAAGACGTTTGCCGTCATTTGATCTAAGAGAGTAGGCGGCTAGAAAAAAAAGCATATATCAGAGTTTCAGTACCTTGTTTGCTAAGATATTTCCTTATCCTCCTGATATTGTACAGATAATAGAATGCTGCATGCAGAGCTTGTTTTCGTTATGTGATCACCCACTGATAGGTTAGAATCTAACCACACACCCAAATTCCGAACTGGAGATTGTGGAGCAATGACAGACTGTCCAACAAATATGTCATCAAATGTGATTTTAGCGAGTCCTGTCTGGTGCCGATCAAAAGAATCATTCATGAACAACTTGTTTTGAGATATCCAGTGCCTGCAGTCTTGAATGTAATGTTCGATAGAAGCAACTGCATGAGACTGGCCAGAGTGCGCCTTGGGACTAAACGAGATGTATAACTGAGAGTCATTGGCATAACAATGGACAGTTGGGAGGTGCTTTTCGACGACGTCAAAAAAAAGTGCGCTTGCACTCCGCACCTCCATCTTAACATTCATTCGATGACATCCTTCCCAAGAGAGTTTAATGCCTTTTTCTTCATCTGGGAAATCAGCAACTTTAGGTTGACAGAGGCCTAAAGCACATAGTTCAATCCGCTTGGACTGATGGCGCTTCTGGATGGCAAGGACTTTGATACTCCCCCATAGGTAAGCAGGTAGCCGGATTTTAAAGCTGATGATCTTTGCAGAGCAGTACGGTATTCTCCCTCTACTGAGTAACAGAAGAGCTCTCTCGCGCGCGAGCACCATGGGTAAGAAAATTTGGTCATATATGCTTCCAAGAAATTTTGGTTCTGACAAAATGGTCAGTACGTAGGTCCACCCCTTCGTGTAAGCCTGGGTGAAATTTTGAATTTCAAGTACGGTACCCGCGCGAAAAAAGCAACAAAGCCGAGTCTGTCTTTTGAATAAATTTTAATGTCTACATTGACGTGGTTAACAGAAAAAGAGCTAGAGCGAGAGATAAAAACAGAGGAGACCAATTTCGTAGGAAGAAAAACGTGAACCTTTTTATAGTGACGGTGTGAAAATGAAAATGTTAGCGGCTGCCACCAAGGTGAAAATGAGGGGCAGTGAAGAAAAAAATGAACAGGAACACATACGACATTTCCTTCATAAAACGTGTAACCAGAAAGTTTCAGGAAATTTCACGTTTTAGTCGTGCAGTAAAAGGCCAAAAATGTACCAAAAAGTGTGCTGCACGTGCAAAGTTGTGTTGTTTTTTTTTTTTGGCTAATTAGACCTACTAGTTTTTTATTTGGCCGTTTTCGTTGCGTCGCCGCTAAGCATTACACGATTATAAATTTTGTTTGAGTAAATTATTAATACTAACGAGAGCTTCGCTTTTAGCACTGACTAAATCTATGTATTATAATAGATTTAAAGGCAGATCCAACAAGGCGGGTGTCGAGCAGACCACAAAAATTTAACAAAGAATTTAGAGACCACAGTTTCCACAAACCTGACATGACTTTCCATGACAGAATTTTGGCATTATTGCTACCGCCATTTCGTCGGTCTTATTAACAAAATCATAATTATGCTAGCATGCAAAATGACAGACAAAGGCTACAAATGTGTGAAACGGGAGACACACATGGAGCAAGAGAAAAAAAGTGGGTTTAATTTTCTTGCCTATGGAACCATAACAATTAACGCGACGTCAAGGCTTGAGCTCGCAACAAAAGACCCGAAGATTGAAATGTTCGTCTCTCAGCCATCTCCCCTCAAAACATTAGTAGTAAAACTAAACGATACCCTTCCTTTGAAGTACTAAGTTATTTTATTATAATTAAAAAAGCTATAATTGTTGTGGTACTGAAAAAACGGCCTACAGAAATAGCGAAAAATAAAGAAATCATAAGAAAGGTTTTGTTGAAACCAACTGAATTGATACCCTGGCTTATAGTTTACAGGCCCTCTTTCGCTATACGTTGTGGCATGCAAAAGTAACTGGCAACTGGCATGGTCCAACGTTGACAATAAATTGAAGAATATATACACTTGTATTTAAAGAATTTATACACCGGTATCCGAAACAGTGTTCAGCTCCAGTTTATCGTTTCTCTTGTCGTTAAAATATGCGTTATTGACCAAGCGTGAAGTCAAGATGGCTAGATTTTGGCCAGGTTCTTTAATATTATGACCCGAGACGACGTAGAGGTCCGTTAAAAGCACACAAAGAAACGAGGCCAATATCCAGAACAAGCTTTGTCAGGAACGGATATAATATTTCCAGCGGGCAAGAATGGACCCATCATGCCAAATCGAGCAGCCTATCAGATCACAGTACTTGCTTCACCTTGCCCATTCGCAGATTCAGCCAATTGATAAACGTTGTTATTGCTCGTCACTTTCGGAGCCCTGGGAAAAAATCGCGCAAGTTACTCTAAAGGGTGGGTTTATTAACAGCATAGATGTATGCATTTGCTGCTAATAAAAGACCAGACGGAAACCAAAGAAAAGCGTATGAATAGTCTCAACTGTGAAATTTCGTTTTCACTTATCTTCTATTTTAGATGCATTAGCTTTATCGATCTGACATAATGGAGGCGAAATAGAGCTGCCTAAAACTTTTTTAACCAACTAAAGGAAAAATTTCAGCCTGTTCATGTATGCAATTAAAGTCACTCCTGCTTAGTTTTACAGCGTTAAACTTCAGACGAATATTAACTACCGGTGATATATTCCGTTCAAGTTCAAATACCTATTAAATATATCTTTCAATTGAAAATATAAACGCATGGAGTAATAGTGTCGACTAACCACCCTGCAACCTACTGAGTTATTGCGCCTTTTCATCAACTTACTTTCACACAAAACGCAACTTAACTCTTAATTCTATTTTATCGTTGGCTCACAGAAGGCACTCACTGTAGATTTTCGTTACAAAGAGAAGAAATAAGAGGTGCTAAGCGATAACAAAAAGTCACTGTTAACTAATTGTGAACAACACATACATGTTTAACAGGGCGTGTCATGATTTCCATCTTCCACCTGTGAACCCGCTGCGACGATCTCTTACCCTTTGGCGCTATAGACAAAGCACTAAGTGTCAATAATAAATAACCTTGAAACTATAGGCGATTGCAAGAAAGTAATGAATTCACTGAAAGTTTAAACTTTGGAGAAGAAAGGTCTTGTGAAATGTTTAGTGGATAGAAAGACTGAAGCAGACGACAACAAAATTCGCCTTTATTGGTAGGTAAAACTACTATTGATGGGATTTGTGTTCATTTTCATTTGCAAATGCCACATTAATGTGACGCCATGATCTTCCCGCACACCGCCTCTCGCGCTTTTATATCTCTTTTATTAAGACACATGACTACCAATCGAAAGCATTTCCGCGGTGTGGTTATTCTCGAATTGGCCATTACTTGAAATTGTAACTAATACTTTTTTTAAATCTAGTTTGAACCTTCAGGTCGTCATTATTAATAGACAAGAAAAGTGAGCCAGAGCTAAAAGCTAGACGCTATGCTTGGTTTTCTTGGTTTTCAAGTTTTAATTTCATTGGGTACGTCAATCTTTAATTTATGTTGTTATTCCTAAGACCTACGTAGATTTAATTTCTATAGTCCTACTTTAAATCTTTTTGTCGCATGTACACATTTCCACTTTGTTAATAATGTCAGGCAACAAGTTCTTCTTCAGGGCCACTCAAGTTTATTTTATTTGATTTTGACTAGTTTTATTATTTAAGTGTTATTGGTATCGATTAGTTACTTTGTATCTTTTGCAGTGGATTTTATTATCCTCTACAGCTAAAACATTTGTGGTCCTATTGGTCGGGATTAATGTTTAGATACGTCTTCTCATCAGGTCATACACGTGCATTTCCCTGTTAAGGCCGTACGTCGTTGTCATGTAACAATTTCATTTTACCTTTACATTATTGCTTTCAACTAACGATTGGGCTTTTCTTTGTGCAAGGGTATCTGTTCATTAAAACAATACATCATACCCACAGTGTTCGTGAACGAATCCGTTGTGCACATGGCGTCGCGGCTCTCGCTCACGCTTAGCTGGCGTTTTATCATTAGACTTTCCTAAAACGTTCATTGTTTGATTTTGGACACAGCTTCGTCACTGGACATCTTTGAGAATAACTGTTTACAGGCAACCAATCAACTGAGAAGGCGACACGGCGTTCCAGACTTAACTTGGTCCAACACCCTCGCGGCTGATGCACAAGCCTGGGCAAACAGGCTAGCAAACAGCAACGTATTTCAGCACGACTATATCAGCATGCAAGCCAAGAATCAAGGAGAAAATTTGGCCTACTTTAAACCTTTCAAGAGGAAATGTCAGGGTCCAAAAAGAGACGATTGCGTCCAGTGCGCAGAAATTGTTGATGATTGGTATGATGAGGTCAAAAATTACGATTTTGACTTGGGTAAAGCGAAGACACCCAGTGGAGTAGTGATGCACTTTACACAGGTACCAGTTTGCATGGACAACTCCAGCAATTTTAATAGTTTTCACTTTTTTTATTAGGCTATGTTCATTCAATACAGGATACCTTGTCGCGCGGACGCGAAAAAAACCTATCCGAAATGTGGCGCCCATGGGATTCCGCATTCTGGAATACGGAACAATTTTGCTCGTGGAATCCAGAATCTGGAAAATTTTAGTTGTGCTACCCAAATTCCTGGGCTGTTGAATAAGGAATACGGTTCAACGAGTCCAGATCCTTCTGACAATCGGAATCCGGAGTCCAACTGACAAAGAATCCGGTACCCAGTACAAAGAATCCGGAATCCACAGCATGGAATATAGAATCTTAGACTTTCTTGGATTCCCTTATATGGAGGGTTATGTGGCTCTCCACTTAAGAGATCGGAGCAGAGCAGTTGCTCTCCGTTACAGACATCGCGCCGACATCACCGTTTTTATATGTGAACTAAAGCCTTACCCGGTATGATTCTCGTGCCGGCGTAAAAGCTATCCAGTATAGTGTGAACATAGCCTAAATATCTTAGGTGATAACCACTGGAGATGGTGTACAGTCATGTTTAACAAGGAAGCTTTTTACTTAGATAGAGCGCTTTTCAATTGAGTGTCGAAAACCAAAACCAAAGTAATAGATATGAAAAGCAGCCAGCCAGTGCTGCAATAAAAAATAGCCAAGGAGCGATTGTTTTAGTTTTCATCTGATTGGCTGAGAGGGTGGCAGTTGTTTTCTAGGCCAATCAAACAGCACAGTGTTTCCTGGATTACAATAATAAAATTGCTCTAAAAGAATCTACTAAAAACAATAGTTCCTTGTTGATAAATTAATATAAAAGAATTCAAAGTTCCTTCCAAATTATTCACTTCCTGTTTGAGGTGATGTTTTCAACTTCATTCTTCATATGACCCCACAGCTTCATAGCAGCGAAAACAGGACAGGATATTTGCCATCAAGCACCTATTTGGGTGCGTTGACTTTTAATCGAAGCATTTTCCTATCCCAGCATCTGTCAATGAATTCTATGTCGAATATGTAGACTGTTGACCGTATAAAATCTACATCGTGAATTTTCGGCATATTAAGGAAAATTCTGATAGAACTTGAGCTCAAATGGCAAGAACCATTGAGCGCCAAACATAATTTTTTTACTTTTCCTATTCCTGTTTCTCAACAATTCAAAAATTTCGCTCCTCCCGAAATTTATAGTATCCGTCCACTACCACCAACATCATTCCCGACATTTCTATTGTTTCCCCAGTCCACCCCCATCACTGCCACAATAGCATTTCTATTTTTTTTCTTCCAGCACCACCATCACACTACATCTGTATTGTTTTCCCCCAACCATGATCACCGCCACAACCGCACCACATTTCACAACCACACATTCCATCACCACCACTACCACCACCAGATTTTTATTGTTTTCGCTCTACTACCAACACATCCTTTCATCCGCATTTTATTCATGACATTAAGACAAAAGGCTAAGGCGCCATTGGCGTTAATGTATTCCTGCGCTAGTTTATGACTTTCCTGCGCCAAAAACGGATGATTTCATCCCTGCTATACTACTTAGAAAGGAATATTTTTTATTTAAAACTTTGATTACGTCTGATACAAAACGCCATTATTTTATTATACAGGAAGTCTGGAAAAAATCGCATCAGTTTGGAATTGGCACTGCCAAAAGCAAGAAATATGGCTTTATTTTAGTGGCACGCTACAGTCCTCGGGGTAATGGAGGAGGGCCTATGGTTTTCAAAGACAATGTCTTCCCACCAGGTGCGTTGTCGTCTTTTGCATGTTTGCTTTGAAAAGTCCTCAAAAATACAGTTGAAAAAAAAAATAATTAAGGCTAATTTGTCTTCTACAGTATAATAATTATGCTCTTGAATAGTCTTGGCCCCTATTAATTACAAAAAATCTTGCATGAGAGGTTCATTCCAAATTGTACAAGTAGACGCTGGAAGAACAAACGTCCTTAGGACTGAATAATATTCCAATTGTATTTATTTAAAGACTATTTACTTTCCATTCGTTTGAAAATAACACGAGCAATTTTTCTCTTTTTTGACAGGGACTATTTCTGACCCCACGCCATCAACAAGCCCAAGCGCAACTCCTCCAGCGCCCACCTCGATCACACAAAATATTAAAATTAACATATCAATTAACACAAGCACAATGCCTACATCAGCTCCAAGCAAACAAGGTGAAAAAATGCATGCAAACTTTTACTATTTTATATATTACAGAAGAACCAAAAGCTCTGCAGCAATGATTTTCAAATTTTTTTTGACAGAAAATCTAAAATCTTGTCAGGCAATCTCGGAAAAGTGTACTAGGCTTATCTCTTATTCCCGGCCATTTGATTTAGTGACGAACTCGCTTAACATTTCGTATCCGACAATAAAAACGAAAACTTGACCTTATATTTGAAATTAGACTTCAAGTCTATGTTAAAAGTAAATGTCGCATATGTTACGTGCAGTCTAAGCAAATTATCTGGAAAATACATTCTGACATTACGAGTCTTCATAGCCAATAACATAACGGCTTAACTGACAGACGACGAATAACATCGAGACTTGATTGACCAATCAGGTCAATAACCAGAGTTTAACAGCATCAACCGAAGTGATACAATTCACTGTGACTCTGAAGATGACTAACGCACAGGTTGTCGAAACGTCAGTCAGTTCAACAACAACAGTCCTATCCAGGACTACGTTCACCTGGACGATCATACTCAATCGACTCATTGGCATAAAAGTGTATTTCAGCTAGTTGTACCACAACTTATGAGCTTTCAAAAGATGAATTCTTGAACTTTCAAATTGAATGCTCATATCTAACTTATCTTTTATTCTGCAGTCGGAGGAAAGCCCACCACGCCGAGCGTCACCACCACCTCCCCTCCACAAGTGACACTTCCTGCTGGTAGGTGATGAGTGAAACTTTTGGTTGTCTTTCTAATTGTTTGTGTCTAAACGTAAACGTTGAGCTAAGTTGGACCTTTAATGTCCAACGCCTGAACCTTCACACAATGGCTTTCTTCTACTTGCACGTAAATGTTACGTGACACAGGAAATCCACACTACAGGGCTGCAATAAAATTATCCATAGGAAGTGCGATGATTCTTAGTGTTTGTCCGTCATTTGACACTGTACTTGTCTTCTTATCATATGATATTTGTGATGATTCTGCGCATTACAAAGTAAGTAAAAAGGGACCATTCTCCTTTCTTACTTACTGCAAGGGGCTTATCTATCACTTCCTGTATCCAGACCTGCACCTCTTCCTCTTGATCACAAAAAAGGATGTCGTTCCTGAACGTTTTGGTTACAGAAGGAACGCATTGTTATGAATTATTAGGTTCTTAATTAACAACTGTTATTTATATTTTCTTTTTATTCTTTTTTCGTTTGTTTATATGCGCGGAGGTGATCGCTTTGACGAAGGACTAGCGACGAAACGTCAGATTCTCAATCCACCTACGAAGGCCAATCAATAATTTAAATCATATCACCTTCGTTGATAAAACTAAATTATTGAACCTGATCTCACAACCACCGCCGTCACTTGTCAGTTTCTTTGGAAAAGTACTTACCTCGTTTATCTTTTGTTTTCCGAAAACGGCGACCACCTCACTTTATTTCCAACGCCTTATTGAGCAGAGAAGTCATAAGTCAGTCTGCAACTGAAAAAGGGGCCAATGACACTCGGTCTGTGTGTGGCGGGAAAATAAAGGAACACGACTCCGTTGTTCTAAAATTTTCTTCGGATGTGGTCTTCTGAGGGCCTAAACTCAACCGTTTCAACAGGAAAGTAAAGTCCTATGTTAACGGCTCTGCCGAGGAAAATGTATTTTTGGCAAGAAAGTTGAAGAAAAGGATCGAGCTTATAAAGAAACAAACGCAATTAACGTCTTTAATATTTTATTTTAACGCGTCAACTGATGGAGAAATTTCAGAAATCGTGACTAAGCTTACACGAACTTGTCCTCTCGTCAGTGTTTTCTTGCATTTATACCGGTAAAAGGGGGCATATTCTTTTTTAAACTCTTTTTTCCTTTGGTTAACATGCATCATTACACCACCTTTCCAAGACTTTTTTTCAGGTCAAGTTTTTTTTGTTCTTGTGGTTTGCGCTCTTGTTGATGTTTTACGACCATGGTTACTTAAACTTCATTGCCTTCATTCTTGCTTCATTCAAACTATCGATCATCCAAGCAGCCATGAATATAGACTACGAACAGTTTCTCGCGCTTGACGGAGGGCGCAAGACAGAGGAGGCGTGAAATAAACAGGCTTTTCCCAAACCCAGTCGGCAAAATTACGATAATTTCACTTCCTGAGATGAGAGCTTCTGATGCTTCACTTTGCTTTGACTTTAACGTTTCTGTTTTAAGGACTGCGTGACAGACATTCCTGCATACTTCAGTCATCATCAACTTGTCAGTGGTTTCGGTTGCTGACAGTTGTTGTCAAAGCTTCACGAACAAGCAAATGGTAACTATTTTTGAGTCGCGAGAGCCGCGCATAATCCTTTTTGTCCTGGCTGTAGGGAAGTCTCTACTTATTTCGGCTCTACTACGCAGCACAACATGAATCGAAAAACCATAGGTTTATTTTGGCAGTTTAGACCAAACACCAAGAGCTATAACAATACGTTATACTACAACTTCTGTTACATTCAAATATGTGGTCGATAAACTAGAACAGGGTTTAGAGACAGTTTAAAAAGAAAACTCTGAGTACGAAGGCCAGAAAAATACCTGCCGGGAAAAAACCGATTAGGGAAAAAACCTCCAGGAAATCTGGGAAGGAGCCATGATCATGCTCTGAAAAGCCCCTCCTACGAAGGCTACACGGCTCTGCCCAAGGTCTCTACCCACGCACGTTTACTTAGCATATATTCCAACAAAGCGCGATAAACTCAAAATAATGGTATTCGAAAACAATAAACAAAAAATAAAGGAAACAAGCCAAAACCCTCCCGAAACTCGGTCTGTCACTTAATAAATTCAGTAAGTAAAATGTCAATAAATAAATACATTAATAACGCACAGGCTAAACGAGGTGTCGGCTCAGAATACTTTCCCATGAGATAACCATCCTTTTTATAGCTATCATTCTACCCATGCTGCAGTTCAGATTCGGTCTGGCACAACGGACTCTTATACAAGCTCAGTTTCAAATAAATGTCTGAGGAAACCTCTATAAAGTCACAAAACGTTTATACTCAAACTCTACCTGTTCTATTAGGACTGGAAATAGCCAAACACAACTTTTTCAATACACTAGAGGTATGCGTCAAGGTCCCCTTCTCTTTAACCTATACGTTAACAGGTAGATACGACAATATACCATGCGATGGAAGGTTATGCAGTCTCTGCAATTGCAACAGACTCGAAGATGAAACTCATTTTTTATTAGATTGTCCAATTTTTTCTTCGATAAGAGACAGGTCTCTAAACTAGAACCTTATTAATACCGGTTCTACGACTACATGCAATCACATGCGACCTTAGTATCACTTCTAATGAATTCTACTGACTATTTTATTAGCATCCAATTAATTTCATTTATGTCATCTTGCTTTGAATTGAGAGACAAACTTGTCTTCGGAATAATTAATCCTACTGATGGTTGAAAATAAGCAATGATTATTATATTTAAAGTTATTTTAAGTAATTAATTTAAAAAGAAATCAATAATTAAATGCAAGTAGCTTTTACAATACTGTAATACTTTGTTATAGTCTGGTTATTAAGTCATGCAAATAAAGCTTATTGTTGTTGTCGTTGTTGCCCCAGTTCCCACAAAGACCCCACTGCTCCTGTGAGGCAGAAAAATTTCATTTCCGGCTAATTTTTATTCACTCAAACGCAGGAAATTCCATTTTTCTTCTCGGGCTGCCGCCCTCATCTCTCGCGTCTCGGGTCTTCACCGCTAAGCGCTCGCGCGCGTGTACCACCCTCAACAAATCGGAAGGAAAAGGAAGAATGATCGCAGTCTACCATCTGTTCGTCAAATCAATAGAACTAATTGCATCAGAGCAGCAATAGTTTCAAACACGAAGCTTTTCAGGATTCAAACCAAACAACAATAATAATAGTTATTATTATACATAACACTATCTATTCTCTCAATGGCTAAGAGCCTACAGTAACAATTACCTAATTATTGTGTTATAAAACTTAACCGTGTCGCGTTTTTTTTTTTTATAATTAATTTAGGTAAAACACCTGGTCCATCTGCCACAACTAAACCACCCAGTGTATCAGGTAACAGCATGCTAAAAAACAATGAAATTGCATGGTGATACTTGAAACCACTTTCCAAAAAATTAATGAAAAAGATCAAATTAATTTACTATCAGATAACTGGGTATAATAGTAAACTTAACAGTTTGAAATTATCTTTAAAACAGGTGAACACACGGCTAAAACTTTGCCTGTATATTTTCGTCTCAGATATTTCAATCTTCAAACTGATTGAGTAGTTCAATGAACTCGAAATTTAATGCTCTTTATTAAATATAATCAAGGAAACGTACCAGCACCATTTACTGTTTTGTTTTGTTTGTTTGTTTGTTTTTTTTTCTATCATGATATTTATTTTACATATTGTTTTGTTTCTCTGTATTCATACTGTTGGCCCCTTATAGCTTCACGAGGTTTTACGATGAACGTATTTCTAGTTTTCTAAGATAATACTCGTGAGAATTTATAGCTATAGGTGTAACTTCCAGGGACGACGAACGTGCCTTCCTCACCGAAACCATCAACCACACCAGGTAAAAAACCGTTTAGAATAGGATTTATAAGACTTGTCGACCTATTTAGAAACTGGGACGATCTAAGGGCGGCCGGCCAGACCATGGTTGGACCAGACATTTTTGAAATGAAATACGCTTTTTCTATGAAGTTTTGCTGAAAAACCATCTCCTTTGTGCATAATATTTAGGATTTGACTGATCCGGATGGTTAGATTTGATTAAAAGTGAAATTCTCATTACGATAGGAATGGGCTGGCCGGTCAGTTCTGACATATGGAGATCTTTTTTTATTTTTAAGATATCAAATCAATCATAGCGTTTCGTGGCTTCATATGTTGATAATTGTGTGAATTGAATTCTCGAAATTTTTGTACAAACAGTAGGTAAGAAGAAACAAATTTAAGGTTTTTTTATCTTATCAGATGCTAATTAATGTTCTGTTTAAGTTGTTCAGTTTTAAAAATTCAGAATTCAAAGTTCGCGTTCTTTGAGGTTTTCAACACTATTACGCCGTCTACAAACATCTACATACCACAGATGAATATCAGTAAAACTTTCAAAGATTGTTTAATAGATATTGATAGAGAAAGAGTAGGAGCGTTGGATTTTTCCTACTTTCTTGATACTCGTCTCATTACAGGTACTTAAATTAACCTCCCGTAAACTCGGCTTACCAATATTTTTAAGATGACACATAGGGAGTATACATTGTTAGATATAATTCACAAGAAAACAAACTATTCAGCGACTTTCTCGAAAAGACAATCAACACGCCAAGTTATCAGCTGAAATTGATGGAATTGCAAAACTTCAGGAGCGTAGCGTCCACAAACGCACATACGCCCGTGCGTACAGCTGAAATCTGGGAAAAAATTTTGTATTATTTCTTGAAAGCATTTTTGTCATTAAATTTTTCGCATTATATCATTTGTAACCAGTACTTGATCGCGTCACTGTTTTGCCCTTTTTCCCGTTAACACTGTACCTTTCATACCGATAACACTATAGATGGGTATAGTAGCTTCTGCACTTTCCTTCGTCTTTATTTATTGAAAATGTCCAGCAGAAAGCGCAGTAAATGACATTCCCGAGACCCTATATTTAGAAATTTTCTGGGGGAGCATGACCCTAGAGCCTCCTAGTTTGGAGCGCGTTCGACGCTCTGACTTTTCTTCCCGTGCGTACACATTCAAAACCTCACGCTACGCCCCTGAACTTGCATCCTTCTTCCTCTTCGGGACAACACCCGGTCCATCTGAGGCACCTAAAACACCCAGTGCATCAGGTACCAACCTGCCCAAAACTGAATGTACATTCTGATGTTAGAAATCGCAGAGATAACACTGATGATTTCAAAAATACTTATTTTGATCAAATTAGCGAGCAGACCTGGTTCATCTTCTGCAACAAAAATATACAAACTACATGTTGTTCCTTGACAATCCTTTAACAGGTACTCTAGACCAAAATTATTTATCCAGACGAGATCAATGTAAATTTTAGCTAAATTATCACTGCTAAACCCAAAGCTTTAATAATTTTGTTCTCTTACTAACGCCGAAAGATTCGACCGCGAATTAAACCGCGATTGGATTCATTCTGCAACTGAGCAGCGTAGTGTATCTGCGAACGTCATGTTCAAGCTTTTTATGCAATCATTTTAACTGATTTTTTTAAGTGATTTTAACCAGAACGCAACCCTGTTTTACAAACAAACTTCGTTTCCCAATACGAATAGTATATATAGTACGAATAGTGTAGTCCGCCATGCTAGAGATTTGTAACAAGTGTCTATAACTAATTGACTAACTAACTAACTAAACGTAACTACAACATCAAAAGCACATCTCCTGCAAAGATGAAGGTTTTTAAATTTTAAGAAGCAGACTGAGTTGACATTCTAAGATGAACACTCTTCAATAGACAAAAAATAATTGCCTGACTTATGAAATTAGTGCTTTTCTGCTTTCTAAATCCTTAACTCAATTCCGAGAGATTTAGTGAGTTACTACTAAAAAGTTTAAAATGAAACAATACAAGGAAAGAATAATGAAATAAAGTAAAATGGTAATCTCAGCTGGTTCGATTTTTGTAATAGCAATAACCTTGCAGCGTTAACTGATTTTTAACTTAGGAACAACGTCCGGGGCATCTGCTGTAACTAACCATCTAACCTACCTATCTACCCCAGCTAACCTACTGTTTTAGGTAATGGCATGGTAATGAAAATAATTATTAACAATAATGATAATGATAATAATTGTAATATAATAATCATTAATAATAAAAGTAATAATAAAGAACAACTTAAAGACGGTGGCAAATAATTACAAAAACTAATAAACTCGTGGGCCTCTTCAAAAATGAAAGCTAATTTTTGCAAAACACCTCCAACTTCCACATCAGGAACACCAACTGCAACAGGTTGGAATTCTGCTTTCCTCTGTACATTATGAACACAATCTGACCCATTACATAATTATTTTATAATCCCTATGATTAAAATACATCGATCAATGAACGTAAACTTCCGATGCTCTTCCCAAGTTGTTTTACAAGACTGATAAAAAACGTGAATCATGACCAGATTGATAGTGTTAGGTTTACTTTCTAGGGACCTCACCCATACCTTCCTCGCAAAGACCAACTAGTGCACCAGGTAAACTGCCGAAATGAAATAAACAATGAAACTTGTATTCCTGTTTATATCTACTCGTAGATTCACCAGATTACACCAACTCTATATACATCCTCACCTTAATTCTATTTGTAACAATATGCATAGAACAATAAATAGAATGTAAAAAAATAAGTTTTAAAATTAATCAATTAATTCTCATGAAAGTGGTAATCATATCAGTTAGAAGAATAACATCACAAAATGAGTCACATCATCACTTAGCATGACTTGGATTGCACAGTTATCGTCTTCAATTAAGAAAAAGTACCCATTCACTGTGTTTAAAAGTAGGACATAATAAACAAATGCGGATAAAAAAAGGTCAATACGAAGGATAGCACTTAAAAAATAACACCATGATACTTTGTAGGGAAATCACCCCTTCCATCTTCTTCCACTCAACAACCCAGTGGCTCATCAGGTAAATGCCGCATGCTTCAACGTAAAACTTAAAAATTGAACTCTCCTAATATTTTATTTAACAATCCATGTTCAAACTCTAAGTTGAATAGATAATGAGATCTTATTAGTTGTATAGCTTATTAACTTCAAAGCATTGTCTGACAGCTTTGTGCTGGTTAACAAACAGCTAAATACTTTTAATTGCTTCCAAAAACTAGGAATTCAGGTGTGATATAATTATACACAAATAGCGACAATTCGACTAAACTTAATTAGTAGAAGGTAAAACTTGCTATTGTTCTAAACATAAAAAACTATGAGATAAATAGCATGTACTACTTGATAAATAGCATACACTTGCTACAGGCACAACACCAGCACCGTCCGCTTCGAAGGGACCAACCAAAGCACCAGGTAACTACAGTAGCTAAAAGTAGCAACTTAAAATATTAAACCTGTTAACTCTGATTTTCTATTCGTCCAATAATTCAGTGTTTCAAACTATTCTCTCTACATATATTTCGGTTCAGTTTGGTTTAAATTATATTGATCTTTATTCGAAACCGAGCTCTTAATCTTACATTACCCATCCCAATCCAAAAGCAAAATTGAGGAAATGGCCAAAACAGAAAAAAAAACAATTCTTATGATAACAATCCAATTGAGACTGTTTTTAATTTGAAAGCTATTGTTAGAAATTCTGTTTTTAAGACAATCGAGTTAAATATTAGAGGATATTGGTTACTGAGGCCAAAAATTTCGAACCATTACGTGACCGTTATAAAATGAAACTATAATATATAGATTTAGGTAGGTCTAAAAGCGAAGATCTCTATAATATTTATAGTTTGCTCAAACAAAATATAAAATTGTGGAATGCTAAGCGGCGAGGGCAACGAAAACGGTAAAAAAACAACAACCGGTCTAATTAGCAAAAAAAGCAACTTTGCACGTGCAGCACACTCTTTTTGTACATTTCTTTGCCTTTGTTTTGCCCGGCTACAACGTGGAACTTCCAGAAACTTCCTGGTTACACGTTTTATGGAGGAAATGTTGTTGTCGCTCATTTTCACCCCGGTGGCCGCTAACAATTCTCATTTTCTCACCGCCGCTACAAAATTTCATGTTGTTCCTACAACAGAAGAAGGTCTCCTTTATTTTTTCTCTCTCGCTCTAGCTCTTTTTCTCGTTCAGCTTTGCTGGGTGTCGCCCTACTTTCTCTTTTTCTCTGTCTTTTTCTTTCTCTGTATTCCAAATGTGTGGACATGACAATTAATCTAAGCTTAATCCTTAATAGGGGCACCCAACGACAATTTTCGGAAAAATATCTGTTCGGAAGACAATTTGAGATGTAGAATTTTCGGAACATTTGTTGTAAAATTTCTTGCTTGCCTGCCTCTCCTAGGATTTTCGAACATCTTAAAAATGGTATAATTGCGTATTTTTAACGGATTTTTACCCTAAAAAGGTCACCTAGAATTTTCGGGAGCCTTTTTTCAGGTTGAAATTGTCGAAAAGGTAAGTTTTGATCCCTATAATTTTCGGATCACTAGACTTTCAGCTAGCAAATCCGAACAGATGAAAAATTTTTAGGGGATAAAAATATGCCTTTATCTACCGTTTAAATACTAAAATACGTTTAACAATGCTATGTTTAAGTGCTTTTGAACTATATTCTCGTTGGGTGCCCCTGCCTTAAGACAACACGGATACAGAAAAATTTTCCGCTTTCCGTTTTCGTCTTTATTGACTCTTTAGTGGTCTCTGCTTCACAAGACGTGGGTTGCCGTTCGCTTTCCCGCCAAAATAAACTGACATTTAGCTTCGGCTTACATGAACTTGTGTGTACAGACAGGCGGGCGTACGCTACGTCATAACCAAATTTTCTTGCTTTCATAGGTTACCAATTTATCTTAGCCATGGGGTTACGCTACGCACACTTTGCGCGCGCGGGAGGTCCGCTATTAATCTATTTATTTATCATTCTATTACGACAGTCTGCCATAAACCATTCCTGTTTTACGTAAAATTAAACTAAATTATTATCATTGTCATTATCATAAATATTGTCATTGTTATTATGGTTATTATTATTATCAGTACTGTTGTTTTTATTCTAATGGTTCCTCCAATTAAATAATATTTTAACGATAGCAGACGTGTCACACACGCTTTAAATTTTAATTTAGGAAAAACATCAGCTCCATCTGCACCAACTGAACAACCTGGTGTGTCAGGTATCATATTCAATTTCTAAATAGCAAATTTAACAGTATCAAATGGCTAAACGTTACCTCTTATTTCCTATTCCCAAATATCAAATCAGTCTGATCTATACGGCACTAATTATCAAAACTACACTAGCCATGCAACATGTACGTTTGATTTCTTTTTTCTTTCTAATTCAGGGAAAACAACCGGTTCTTCCGCTGCAACTCAACAACCTAGTGTATCAGGTAACAGCATGCCCAAAAACACATTTGTCGACAAAATAATGCATGCTAATATTTGACACCGCTATAATAAATGACACAAAACATGTCCATGATAATCTTTCTTACACACTCAGGAAAAACTACCAGTTCATCCTCTACAACCCAACAACCTAGTATATCAGGTGACAGCATGCTCAATATACAGCAAATAATGCATGTTGATATTTGACAAGATATTTTGACCAAGGACAGGGTTTATGAATCAACAGTAGAATTCCATGCAACCGTTTGATATTTACTCCTGCTTAGCGGATAAATATTCATTAAATTTTGAAACAGATCACTTCCGATCGCTCCATTTCACAAGCGCGATAAAATATTCGCGTCCTAAATAAACTCAGATTGAAGCAAATACCAATCAGCTTACTCAGTAGAACTTTCCGAAATTGTCTGCAAGATTATGCCTATGATACGGTAAACAGCTTCAGACATTATGTACTTTCTAGGGACAACACCCTCACCTTCCTCGAGGAGGCCAGCCAACGCACCAGGTAATCTGCCAGAAAAGAGAAAGTACAACTGTTACTCGTATTCTGGGTTTCTGTTATACGAACACTTTAAATTAATGTGCTCTCAAAGCAAAACGCAATTTTTGAATTTTCGTTTATTTAAAAGCATGAACAAAGATTGTATAAGGAAGGGTAAATCTGTTAAATAAGCATTCTAAAGTTATCTGTTTACTTTAATTTCTGTTATGATTAAGCACAATTTATAAGTAGAACCCAGTATTAGCCTGCAAGTGCACATTCAGCGGTGACCATACGTAGGGCCACCACTTACATGTAACGAGGGGAACTCAAATGTTGTTTCGGTTTACCTTTTCCAAAGATTAATGGTGGCCTCCGAAAACCACTGGCGCGAGTTGAGCTCCGTCAGCTAAGGTGATCGTTCTTGAATGCGAATGGTGATTTTTATTTCAATTGAAGTTTGTTTCAGATTTTTCAAAACGACAGAAAATCAATTATGGTACTAGGATATGGTAAAACGAAACTTTCACATCCTTACACTACAGTTGTAGTGTAAGCACTGTACAAAATCGTGAATTAATTAAATATTGATTAATTAATTAAAATTGATGAAATCCTCAGCTTGAACACACATACGCGGCGAGAGATTCAATGACGTCAAAGATAACTTGAACTCGATCGCGCGTCCGAATATCTTCTTCGCCATTTCCTTTCAAACACCTTCCTCACAGGCTTAGAAAACTTCACTGTAATATATCCAAATAAAACTGGACATTTCAAATAGCAAAATGATCTTAAAAATTGTATCTGGGTCACATACATCTTTTTTCCAACGTTTACAGGGAAAACACCGCGCCCAACAGGGAATAGCGTGATCAAAAGTGTACAAAACTATGCATGTTGGTACTTGATTGACAACGCTAATCTTGACACATATATTTATTTTTAATTTTAATGCAGGAAAAAAACCAGGTCCAGTTTCTACAACCAAACCACCTAGTGTTTCAGGTAACTGCATGGTCAAAAGTGAACCATTCAAACGGCATGCTGATACTAAAAAAAACATCATTTTTTTACTCCAAATTAAAGAAATGTATCAGATAGATTGATATGAGATAAAGTTTTTTTTTATTCCAATATAAGATAACAGATAACAGCTTCAGCTATTACTTTCTAGGGACTACACCCACAGCTCCCCCTAAAAAACCACCCAGCGCACCAGGTAATGTGGTGAAAAAATTAATCGCACGACTGACATTGTGCCTTTTTATGAAAATAATTTGCCAAGTAATTTGTCTCCGAACGTCATGTTCAAGCTTTTCATGTTATCATTTTAACTGATTTATTGTCTTTTAACCAAAACGCAACCCGGTAACAAGTGTCTATAACTAATTGACTAACTAACTAACTAACTTCATGTAACTACAACATCAAAAGCACATCTCCTGCAAAGATGAAGGTTTTAAATTTTAAGAAGCAGACTGAGTTGACATTCTAAGATGAACACTCTTCATTAGACAAAAAAATAATTGCTTGACTTATGAAATTAGTGCTTTTCTACTTTCTTAATCCTTAACTCAATTCCGAGAGATTTAGTGAGTTACTACTAAAAAGTTTAAAATGAAACAATAGAAGGAAAGAATAATGAAGTAAAGTAGAATGGTCATCTCAGCTGGTTCGATTTTTGTAATAGCAATAACCTTGCAGCGTTAACTGATTTTTAACTTACGAACAACGGCCGGTGCATCGGCTGCAACTAACCATCTAACCTACCTACCTACCCCAGCTAACCTACTGTATCAGGTAATGGCATGGTAATGAAAATAATTATTAATAATAATGATAATGATAATAATTGTAATATAATAATAATTAATAATAAAAATAATCATAAAGAACAACTTAAAGACGGTGGCAAATAATTAGAAAAACTAATACACTCGTGGGCCTCTTCTAAAATGAAACCTGATTTTTGCAAAACACCTCCAACTTCCACAACAAGAAAACCAACTGCAACAAGTTGGAATTTTGCTTTCCTCTGTACGTTATGAATACAATCTGACCCATTACATAATTATTTTATAATCCTTATGATTAAAATACATCGATCAATGAACGTAAACTTGCGATGCTCTTCCCAAGTCGTTTTACAAGATTGATAAAAAAGGTAAATCATGACCAGAGTGATAGTGTTAGGTTTACTTTCTAGGGACCTCACCCATACCTTCCTCGCAAAGACCAACTAGTGCACCAGGTAAACTGCCGATATGAAATAAACAATAAAACTTGTATTCCTGTTTATATCTACTCGTAGATTCACCAGATTACACCAACTCTGTATACTTCAGTTGCCAGCTGTAACTGGAACGTTTTATACCCTAATCTGACAGCTAGTAATTAAACAATATTAATAAAGGCCTCATAAATTTTTTTGCCTTTCTGTCAGACATAAAAACAGTACTTTAATGTTTATTTTCCAAATATTATTAGTATTTTTAAATAATTTGACACTATTTGTTAATTATTAAATTTTGTGACTCTCATTCACACATTTTAACTTTTCTTTTGATTTGTAGCTGTATCCTTAAACTTAATTAATTAACTGATTTTTGTTTCTTAATTTTTTTTTGGTTTATTCTCATTGTCTTGTTATCTGTGTGGGAAAACAAAATAAGGTGTAAGGCTCCTTTCAAACCTCGTACCTCATGGTGCTGCCATGCTAAGCTATCCCGACTGTACCCCGACGGGGAGACGATTTATTTTCAGAAGTCTAGTGTAATTTAGTCAAATACAATGCAAGCCGAGAACAAAAACACTAAAGCAAAGGCAGTTGAGCCATCTTATCTGGATATATTTTTTGATTTATGAATTGAGTTTGGTACTGCCATAGCACGACGTCTAAAACCTACTGCCCTGCTCAACTCAGTCGGATTTAGTTCGATCAAAATAAAAATCCGTTTAATGTAACAATATGCAAAGAACAATAAATGAAATTTAAATAAATAAGTTTTAAAATTAATCAATTAATACTCATGAAAGTGGTAATCATATCAGTTAGAAGAATAACAGGGGTATAACATCACAAAACGAGTCACGTCGTCACTTAGCATGTCTTGGATTGCACAGTTATCGTCTTCAATTAAGAAAAAGTACCCATTCAATGTGTTTAAAATCAGGACATAATAAATGAATGCTGATAAAAAAAAAAGGTCAATACGAATGATAGCACTTAAAAAATAACACCGTGTTACTTTTTAGGGAAATCACCCCTTCCATCTTCTTCCACTCAACAACCCAGTGGCTCATCAGGTAAAAGCCGCATGCTTCATCGAAAACTTACAAATTGAACTCTCCTAATATTTTATTTAAGGTGACTCGACCCAGTTTTTTTTGGGGGGGTACCATCCTACTTTGAAGCTCTCTGTTATCCCCACCTTTACTTTTATCGTAAGTCTAACACATAGAATGGATAACATATAGATCAATCTACAATATAACATAAGATTTTTGGCGATCGGAGTAAATGTCACGTGGTTATAATGCCACGCCCCTTTGAGGTCTGAGTCGAAAATCTGCTGTTGCCGGCATTTTTTCGTGAAAATCTCTCGGCTACACATAGTGCGCATTAGTGCCTTGCGCTGAACAGAGTTTCACCAAAATCGCAAAGACCCAATTCGAGAAATTCAGCGGTTTCCAAATTTAGGTCATAATTTATGCGAAAATGATAAGCAAACTTTACACGGATTATATCTAATAAACTATGAGATTCATCTCTGTATCTTGGGCATCGTTATAACAGATGGGTCCTTGCAAGTCCGCAAAACAATTTAGGGCCTTGTAAATGCGCGCGACGTCGAGAAAAGCAAACATATAGAAATTATAGTTTTCGCAATTTGTTGACGTTTGTCAGCGTTTAAGAGTCAATCTCACGAAAAAAGCATTTTCTTAAAAATTCGTAATATTTTTTTCCTTCAAATTTCTTCAGGGCCACAATTGGTTAACTAACTACCCGGAATCTGAATTTCATGGTCATTGAAAAACTGTGACATTATCTTCTATAAGCCCAAACTTGAGTAAACATTGAAGATTTTTAGCGTTTTGGCTGAGTTTTTGCTTTGGGAGTTGTCTATTGTTTCTAGTTTGTCATGATACAGCATTATTATTCAGCACGCGTGCAATGACCGCGCTTGGCTGACCTCCGAATGCTCACCGAGATATGATAATTTTGGTACAGTGAATCAGGCCATCACGTGATACATAGAGGTTTTAACTCACAATTTTTAATCAATCCTCGTGCTTCTTGTGGCTTGACAAAAAAAATCAAGAAGTGCTACACACTAAATCTACTTACTATTAAAAAAAATACCATTTTTTCATAGGTTTAATGCAAGCCAATAACTAAACCAACTCTCGTGACGGGAATCCCTTCTATTGTCTTATACTAAATTATTATATCTCGGTGAGCATTCGGATGTCAGCCAAGCGTGGTCATTGCACGCGTGCTGAACAAGAATGCTGTATAATGACAGACTAGAAACAATAGACAACTCCCAAAGCACAAATTATAACCACGTGACATTATACATTATTACATTATACATTACGTGGTTATACATTATAACAACGTGACATTTACTCCGATCGCCAAAAAAATTAATGTTATATTGTAGATTGATCTATATGTTATCCATTCTATGTGTTAGACTTACGATAAAAGTAAAGGTGGGGAAACCAGAGAGCTTCAAAGTAGGATGGTACCCCCCCAAAAAAACTGGGTCGAGTCACCTTAACACTCCATGTTGAAACTCTAATTTGAATTGATAATGACATCTTATTAGTTGTATAGCTTATTAACTTCAAAGCATTGTCTGACAGCTTTGTGATGGCTAACAAACAGCTAAATACTTTTAATTGCTTCCAAAAACTAGGAATTCAGGTGCGATATATACACAAATAACGACAACTCGACTAAACGTAATTTGTAGAAGGTAAAACTTGCCACTGTTCTAAACATAAAAAACTATACGATAAATAGCATGTACTACTTGATAAATAGCATACACTTGCTACAGGCCCAACACCAGCACCGTCCGCTTCGAAGGGACCAACCAAAGCACCAGGTAACTACAGTAGCTAAAAATAGCAACTTAAAATATTAAACCTGTTAACTCTGATTTTCTATTCGTCCAATTATTCAGTGTTTCAAACTATTCTCTCCATATACATTTCGGTTTAGTTTCATCGTTGGTTTAAGTCATATTGACTCTTTATTCGAAACAGAGTTGTTAATCTTACATTACCCATCCCAATCCAAAAGCAAAATTGAGGAAATGACCAAAATAAAGAAGAAAAAACAATTCTTATGATAACAATCC